TTTTTTGTTTTATATTTCAATTTTAAAACCAATAAAAAAAAACCAATTTTTAATCTTTTTTGCGATTTTAAAAATTTATTACTCCCCCCTCCCTCCTCCCCTTTTGAGAAAAATTTCGTTTGAACAAAGAAAGTAACTGAAATAGTTGAATGAATGAATGAATAATAACTTGAGATTAAATTCTGTATACCGCTCTTTCACCATCAACTGTTACCGAAAATAAATACTTTATTACGGCAAAACAGCAATAATTTATATAGCAAAATTATTCAAAGATAATTAACGAAATCGGAAAAATTATACGCGCGGAAGGATAATGTAAACAATTTTATGGTTAATCGTGAAAAATAATACTCATAAAAAACATTGAAGGAAAACAAAATAATCTAGAAAATTTTGTCAAGGTTCGAATCTATCCGATACCGACCGACCAAATGGAAAATTTTATCAAGAGTTGTGCTGAGTATAATAAGAACGCAGCGAGGCCAGGGAAATTTAATCGAATAGTTGGGAACTTGCCGTTATTCTATCTATACACTTTTTCCTAGCTAGGTAACTAAAACTCTTTCCTGTCCATCGGTATTTGTTGTAAAACCCTTTATCGTTTCAATCGACATCGATAATTCCATCGCATCCTGGAATTCAATGTTCTTATGTACCAGTTACTTTTGCGTAGTCTTTATTATACAGATCCAATCTTCTAGTATCAACAGAGTCAGCTATACCAAGCTCCCAATTATGGTGGCCGCTCGTGATATTCTTTTGCATTCCGCTCATGGGTCTCCTTCCAATCTTTTACCAAATGCCAGTTCTGCATGGGCACAGTTTTAGGAATGAATCTTCAACGACAATTTATACGAATCCAGTGAGACAATTAATTCTGAAGATTTTCTGAATGTTCCTCTGTTCTTGAATGTTATTAAAGCGGCCTTTTCGATATACTGTAGGTCCAATATCAGTTTATTCTAATAAAATTACCTTTACATCCACTTTTTATTTAACAATTTTTATTATAGATATTAATTTATTTGTCTATTTGCTTGGCCACCATTTTGTCAGAAACTCTGGAACTAGGATAGTTATTCTACTAAATAAGTTACAATTTAAAATCATTTTATATCAAGAAAAAACTTGGTAATAATGTATCGCTGTTGAACGTTATTGTTTTTATTAAAAATGTTAGATAGCGTCGTAAATTATCCTTCTATGCAAAAATTAATCGTCGATTTCACGTAGCGTTTGTGGTCAGCAATTTCAGATATCAATCACCGATAGATCTGGGTTCGAATCCAGATTCCGGGTTCTTTTCCGAAGCTAAGTAAGTGGATAGGTGCTACGCAGTATGATGTATAGAATATTGGAAGCGACCTCATAATTCCACTAATAAAATCAAAACAAGAAGGGGTCTTATTAGCAAATTGTTATAAGGTGATCTATGATATATATAATTGCCCAGATAATAAATATTATCCCCAACATTATAATTTCGCAAAATATATATTTTAAAATCAATTTACTTTTAATCGAAATTTTAAACCTTAAAAATAATAACAATATAAATTTAAAATAAATATAATCTTTTTAGCAAAACATGTCCCTTAAGGCTTAATAATAAAATCGACATTTGAATAAAAATACCATGTTCAGTTTACAAAACCTCAACTTAACACTACCTACCAAGGTTTGTCGGCGAATTACACGTGGTAATATTGTTAAAAACATCTGATTTGGAGTGATTCTTCTAGTAAATAGTGGTCTAATTAACCCCTTTTTATAACAAGATTAATTATTTAATCACCTAGACAAGTCTGAGGAGTGTTTTATGATGATGTTTTGAAGAAAATCTGGCGGATGAGGATGAAGGTTATAGTTTAATATTTTATTTACTTGATTACAGATTTAGCCTTTTTTGTAATTTCATCAAAATATTCTTTGTAACAGGAGTATATTTGGACAATTGCTCTATTTTTAGCGTCCAAAGTTTTTAATTGCTTCAGTCGCGGTTTTTTATATCAATCCCCGAGCAATAGTTTCCCCATCATCTATACAGAATTCCGAATTTCTTGGACTCCATTAGGGGATCCAATACCCGATTCTTGGCTTATTAATAATCGTGCATGGAATGGTAGAACCCAGGGTAAAGATGTTCGTTCCTGGGTGATTATGCCAGGCATACCGATAGAGATCAAATATGGGATAATGGCTAATTTAATATCGCCCATCTGCTGAAGAAACCCGTTCCTGTAAATGGTCGTAGACGCTTCAGATGCAATTGAGCATTTAATTGGCCAATGCATGATCAAATCCGGAAAGATAAAGAAAAATATTCGTAGACAGAATTCGCCCTACTCAGTTCCCTCGTAGGATGTTTGATATATTATATCCGCCATTATAAATAAGCCAAGATCTGAGATTAGGACCCAATAACAAAATTCGGAATTCTATACCGAAAAGCACTGACTTATTATGTGAAACTTTATTGCTCGATGGATATGACTAGTGTTGTTAAAGGTCAATTTGAGCCTATTTTTAAAACGGCTAACTCAATATTTTATCCAGAAAAATATTATTTAAGCCTATAGATTTTGCTAATTGATGGCACATAGGATTGAGCATGTATTGGCGAAATCTCGACGCTTAAGCGATATTTTCCTGGCTATAATGTTGAGTTAGCCATTTTTAAAAATCGGCTCAAATCGAGCCGTTTAACAACACTAGATATGACACATTCACCATTATGTAATGATTTTTAAAATGTGTATATATTATTGTTATATATGTATAAATAAATATAAGGATCATGATTAACTGCGCATGCTCTTGGCCCGTTAAGGGTTGTGGGCATGTTGCAGATCCTTTATCATGTCTCAATTATATAACTAATATTTTAGGTGTAGCGTCAATCAATTTATTCCATTGCTTATTGTTTTAAAGATTTTTTAAAATACATATATTTTCATACCTGTTTAGATTATATTTTATGGAAAATTTTTATTTTATAAATATATTAAAAATCGATTCTATAATTTATTAATAAATTAAACCATTTTGTCTTTTATTATATTATTATTATTGATCAGGCAATCTATATATATAATTATAAATAAAAAGCGATCATTAAAATACATTTATAATGCCCGATTTAACAGGCACCTCTACACCCCTCCCCCAGGTCAATTACGATATTACCACCACCCCCTATATTTTTTACCCCTCAGCTATTCTAAAAATTAGTTTAAAAAAAAGAATACTAACTACCTTCTCATGAATGCATGCCGATAAATTAATCTGATTTAAGTGGGGGTTTTTCCGGTCTTATTATGACCGTACATTTGACTGGACCTATTTTAATTAAGTTCTCTGCTAGATGAAAACAGGTTAAAAAAGCTCTCAATCACCTTTCACTAATAGGAGATCATCGCCGCTTATTAAAATTTTTATACGAGTATTTCGACGCAACCCGGTGAAATATTGTGTTCTAATTGCTCGGACTGTCTTATCATTTTTTTTAAGAGTTACTATAGAAAACTAATTTATTACATAAATTTTAAGTCTATCTTATACCTTATCCCTTTTCCACAAGATTATTCAATCATTTGAACAATCGTTTTATTATCCCCCCTCCCCACTTTACCCCAAAATGTTATGGTATAAAATTAAAACTTCGATTAAAAAAATAATAAATGATGTAAACATACTCGATTTATTGAAGAGGAAGAAAAACGGGATATCTAATTAAATATAAATATTTTTTCTAAAATATAAGATAGAAAGGAAATAATAATAAATAAAATTTGGTTTTTTTAATATATTTCTCGTTATGCAGGAAGGAATTATTGTATAATCAATAATATTATGTGTACTACTAGATTGGCGAATATTAGTTGAAAATCGCCCATACATAGGGGAGTCAGCTGTACATTTACGTATGGTGACTTTTAAATGCATTTGATAAATGAATCGCCAATCTCATAAATTTTGGTTTCGCGGAATCAGGTTATATGCCTCTTTTAACCCCTATTAAATTCATAGTTTTAAAATTTGTTTATTTTGTAATCAAATTTGATGTGCTTGAGCAATACGATATAATTAAATTTAAAAAATATAATTATAAGAGATTAAGAAAAACCTTAAATTTTGCGTTCGCCATAATTTCTCAAAATTTTTAAATGAGCTTAAATTCTGGGAAGCTTGTTCAATAACGACTCCGCTCCAATTCCAAATTGAGAAAAGTTTACAGGATCTGATATATGAATTTGGAATTTCTCAAAAAAACGAGGAAGGAATGATTGCTTTTGGGCAGATTATATTACAAACATAACTCACCCGATAGCAATTTATGTTTGTTGTACCAAATCAGCTGATTAATGCTTTACACCCCCCCCCCCCTTACCCTGCTATGAGCTGAAATATATGAATTCATTCACATCAATATTTGATTGTTTTTAAAATGCTTACAACTGAGATTATCTATTATCTATATATATTTTTTCTAAAGCCACGATTACTTAGGTGGGGGGGGGGGGTGCTACTATATTTTACAATAAATATTTATCGACACTTATATTTTATTTTTCCTTTTTCATTCTACTTTTCACATTTAAGAGTAATGCGAAAATATAACACTAATCGTATTAAAGTGTTATTTGTATTCGATTCAACGAGAACTGTCTAACCAATGACATATAATACTTATCTAAACTGATGATTCATTCATTAAAATGCATTTTGAGGCGTCGTCGAATACTAATCAGCTGTTGACACGCCATTTTAGTTTCCATGTAAAAATTTTGTACGTTTAAAATGAAAGTGATTTATTAAAAAAATTTTACTAAAAAGTTTTCATAAAATTTTAATGTCAATTATTTATATGGGAAACCAAGATGGCTTGTCATCAGCTGATTTGTATTGACGGATATTAAAATGAATGAATCTAGTTAATATTATAACACAGTCGTATCGAAAATAAATTAAATTATAATAAATAAAATAAAATATAGGCTCAAAGTGACGAGGACGAAGTCGGAGGCGCCGCCGAAGATGTAGCTCTTGATGTCAGCGGTGGTCGGACCGGATTTATGGACGAATTCTTTGAACAAGTTATTAAATATACCAATTGTAAACGCCACTATCAGCAGTTTAATATTTTTCCCTATTTCGGGGAATTCCATAAATATCAGAATACTCATTACTTTCATTTTCCTTCAATCCTGGTTTGACTATTTTTTTGTTTTGTTTCCCATCTTTATGTAAATATTATTTGCCGAATATATCAATTGCTATTTTATATATATAATAGTTAGGCTGCTCTCATAATTTTTAAAGCGATAACGTTCATGTTTTACTATACCCCAGATGGAATCCAACGTGGCCACCCGTTCGGGCATGATATCCCCTTCGAAAACTTGTTCTCGGCCGCGGTTCGATTACTCCAAATGCGAGATCTATTCTCCCTTTTCTTTTCGTACCATCCCTATAAATTCTTATTTACTATTCTCAGAGATCTCATGGGTAGGGGGGGGGGCATTTAAACTCTGTTTCTTGAATTCTTTGAAGATTTTAATAAATTTAAGTACACCTGAATCTCCCTTCCCGTTCAGCACTTTTTATGCTTATTTTTTTTTAGGTGCTTATGTATAAACTTTAATCTACGATATTCCAACTATATCTATTTTCCAATAATAAGAATTTCCTGGTTTCTCGCGAATTCAAATGCGACTTTACTCCTGAGATTGGATTTGACATCCGCAAACTTTTATCCTCAGCTTTGATTTTTTTTAAACTAATCTTTCCTCGATAAATCTACTATTTTTTCCCTCCCCCCTATCAGATGACGGCTTATCATTGTTCTTTTCTTCTGGAATATAGTCTATTTTTTTCTTTATACTAGATCTTGAATTACACCTCTTATACTTAAAAGACTGGTAATATATTCTTACTGCTCTTCGTTTAATTTCTACTTTCGAAAAGAAAAACATGACAGGTGTCCGTTATCCCTGTTATTTTTCAAGGTTAACGGGGGGCTGTATATGCGAGATTATTCCTAAATCTACCCTCGAGTTTATATTCTTACTCGAATAACTTAGAATATCTGTTCTCGTTTTGGCTATAATACAATTATACAGTTTTCGTTAACTATGTCGACTAATGCCAAATAACTTTGCGAATCGCTAAGACCTCTTCAATGAGCGCTTTTAAGAATTTGATGGCATTGATTACATCGACATCACGGACATAAAAGCTTTTCCCATAGCTACCCTCCTACAAAAAGAATTAATAAAAATTTTATTTATAACGATTTAAGGTAGAAGAAATCAGATCGAACATAAACAAAATAGCCGCGAATGTAGAAGAGGTCAAAAGGAAACACAGCGCCATCCTTTCAGCACCCCAATCCGACGAAAGTAAAGGAATTTTCATTCACCATTTTGCTTTAAAAATAATATCTTTTCTACGTTATATTGTGAGTCATTTACCAATCGTTTTTAAATATGTGATAGTTCTTCTTATTTATTTATTAAATGACTATACCGGCTAGTATGTTTGCCTTTGTCATTTTTCTAATGTGAATGTGTTGATTTTTAATAATTTATTATGCTTAGAAAATAATCTTAAAAAAATTATTATTTATAACACCCTCCCTCAGAAGTCAAACAAGAACTCGAACAACTCATGGCAGACATCAAAAAGACCGCCAATAAAGTTCGCGCCAAATTAAAAGGTTTATTTTATTTATTCAAAGCATCTTACCACGAATCATCGACTCTAAATTCCACGTAGCTCTGAGATCCAAATTTATTTATAAGAGTTCTGTATTCATTTCCTTCTCATCTCATAACTACTAAATTGTTAATATATTATCGATTTTCTCATGCACATTTTTTCTTTATAAAGTCATGGAACAAGGTATTGAACAGGAAGAACAAGCTAACAAGACCTGTGCCGATTTGAGAATACGTAAAACGCAAGTTAGTTTTATTAATTATTTTTTAGTACACTTCACTCGGCTGATCCGACTGGGAGAGTTTCGAATATTTGTAACTTTTCCCTTAAATTAATTTTTTGAAGGGGGAATGTTCTCAAAAATTTTGACTCGCCTCGAACCCCTTAATAGCCTCTCCTTAGTGACGCTAATTTTTTTTTTAACGTTTCCTTTATAAGTTTATATGGGATGACCCCCTGAAACTCTTAAAATATTCACGCATCCGCTCCTACTGATTTTAGGATTTTGGCTTTTTATCCAGGATATTTTGAATTTGTAAACTTCTGGAAAATTTAATATAATATAATGAGGATATTGCTCTATTTTCTTTAGCCGGCGTAACCAAGTTTTTTAACCAAAGTTGTTTGTTTTTTAAAAATATAGCTCACTTGGAAGAAGGGCTAAGCTAAACTTATCTAGTAAGCAGAATCTTTTTAATATAATATCAATTGTCTGAATTTAATAAGATTTTTTTTAATTGGGGAGGGGGAAGGAGTTCTAACGCCTCATCAGTATTGTGGACAGAGTGTGGGGATCGCTCCACAATCCCCATTTTCCGGCTTAAAATGGAAGCTAATTCCGAAGCTGAGAAAAAGATTGTAACTACGGATTTATTCTTCAAATATTTATTTTAAAATAAATATTCAATTTTCCGAGTAAAACAATAATTTGAAGTTCATCCTCTTCAGGTTCTAAAAATGCGCTCTGGTGAGGCATTCAAAAAAAATATATATAATTGAATATCTTTTCAAGATTGCAAAAGTTATCATTATCCTTAAAAAACATTTTGATTCCAAATAATTTGATATTGTTTTTTAAAAAATTATCGGCTTCAAATTAAAAAAAGATGTTTTGTAGTTAATAGTTTCGTCATTTACACTTTGATATAGCAAACTTTTGTTGTATATCCGTAAAATTTATTCTCTATTTTCAACATTAAAGAAGGTGAAAGTTTGTTCATATTATTATGTTATCCATATTTATAATAATAACATCAGTATATTTTTCAACATGTTTAAATTAAACCTTATGTGTAGACGTTTCCCAACTCTTGTTATAAAAATTATTTTGAGGATAAGTTTTAGAATATTTTAAAAAACATAATTTTAGAGGCTCAAAATTTTTTAATAATGCCTTCAATCACAGGAATGATAGTCCCCCAAATAAATTTATTCTACCCTAGCCTACCCCACTTGGGTGCCTACCCACCTCAAAAAATTTTAATGCAAACTGTTCCTACCCGGTGCCTCTAACAATATTCTATTCATGTTGAGTTGATTATTTTGTAAAATTCAAAGAAAAAAAAATTATACATAGTTCATTTTCTTATTCATAATGTGATGTTTTTATCATTTAAATAAATTTATATATCTATTCTTATGGATCCTATTTTTAAAGCCTCTCATTTTGTCTGGCCGAACAATATTTCATTTTATCCTAGCTATTTATTTGGTATAACTCGTAAAAAAATGATATCGTGATTCTCTAATTTTATTATTTAAATAGGATTTTATATCTATTCCAATAAATATTTAAATAAGATTTTATATCTATTCACAAGGATGTTAAATTTTTTTAAAAAAAGTTGATAGTTTGCTAGTCAATATGGTAGATCTGGCCACCCTGAATTGTGGTTAATAATTTTTAAAATATATATATATATAACTGGCTTTGATTGGTTTACTTAAATAGCCGAGTCCTCACGATCGGTTTGCGCTAAAAATAAATAATGATCACTATTTATCATCTATCCCCTTAGCAATCCACTCTTTCTCGCAAATTTGTCGAAGTTATGACCGATTACAACACGACCCAAACAGATTACAGGGAAAGGTGCAAGGCTAGGATACAAAGGCAGCTAGAAATTAGTAATATTTAAGAAAAAAATTCATATGTAATATATTTGGTATCGATTTAAGCGGTTGTATCAAAGACCTTCATAGGCTGGATATGGGCCATATATTATATTTTCTTATTGGGCCTGGGTTTTAAAAAATAAAAATTTGTAATGGGATTGGGCCCTAAATTTTTTTAAAATTTAAATTTTTAAAGTCCTGTGAGCTAATTTGACATCATCATATTGAATGTTATTTATTAACGTTTAAAACCACTCAATGATTTAATTTTACATTTTAAAATAAATATACAAATGTATTCAATCGTATTTTATCAATAATAAAAAAAATTATGCTTTTGTTTTTAGTTTATTATCATGTAAATTTTAGCTATATTTCCGTTTCGATTTTTTCTGAATTACTTGATTTTACATATTATTTAAATATATTTTAATTGAAAAATTTTGAAAACTGTTTATTTTATAAAGAAGACAAAATATTTAAATATGTCATCATGAATTTATATTTTTTTAGAATTTTAATTATTTTTGTAAATATAATTTTAAAATTATGATGCCAAATTAACTCATTGGATATTTAATAAGTTATTTTAATAATATTGAATAAATTTTATTTTTTATAGATGTCAAATAAAATAATTATAATTGAAGGTGATATTTCGGAAACAGATATTGATAATAGTGGGATAATTTTAACCATCCTATTGACAATATAGATATAGATTCGCCCATAAATGCACTCCACATAGAACTTGATAATGTTCATGAAGGTCTTAGTTTTCCTAATCTCAGTAGTAATTGGGTATTAAAAAATATTGAATCATTTGATACAACATTCTAAAAAATTTTCTAATCCCCCAAATAATATTCCAACACCATATCACTTCGAATAATATTTCATTTAATGCATGGTTATTGTATCGAAGACATTACTTCAAAAAAATGAAAATTTTTTATAAAACTTATAACATTTAAATCTCAAATAGTTCCTGCCTTGTTAATGGCAGGTAAAATTAGTAAAAGAAAAATAGGGAGACCATCAAATGAAAATCCTAAAATACAAAAAGGATCTAAGTTACCTCAGATAATAACTGACGTTAGATATGATAATTTAGGGCATTGGCCAGAAATTTCTAAGACTCGAAAAAGGTGTAAATTATGTGTTATCGCATATTTAAGGACTATGTGAAAAAATTTATGCTTATAACTATGAAATAAATTTAAAAAAATTTTTCATAATATATAAATAAATATTTTTTTATATACATGCATTTCGTTCAATGATGCCAAATTGTATCATGTTTTTTTTTACCTGTATACTATGAAATAAAAGTCAAAATAAAAATTTTACATCCTTGGTGTATATAAATGAAGATTTTTTATAAAAATTTTTTTTTATTTTTATTTCAAAAAGTCGAGCTTTAAAGGGGTTAAAAAGTTTATAAACTTTAAAAAATATTCTTCTGTAAAGTATAGGATGGTAGGATCCCCTGAATCAAAATTGTACCTTTTGTAGAAACTTAAAAATTTTATTACCAGTCATATAATAATGGTCATAATTAGATACCCTTTTAAGAATTATCAGATTTAAATGCTCTAAAAATAATTTTTTTTTAATTTAAAAAATAATAGCCGGAAGAGCCACAACCAACGAGGAGCTCGAAGAAATGCTGGAAAGCGGAAATCCTGCCATATTTACACAAGGGGTTTATATTTTTGGACCTCTTATAAATTCTATTTGTTTCACCTATTTGTTTTGGAATGAATAGTCAATATATTTGTATTTTTTTTAAATTTGAATGAATATATATATATATTACCTTGAAAGTAGTGTTGTTATAAGGTTCGTTTTGAGCCGGATTTTTAAAAACGGTTAACTCAATACTCAAGCCTGAAGATTTTGGTCAAAGAAGGAACAAAGGTCTAAATATATATTATCGAAATCTCAAGGCTTAGGCAATATTTTTCTGGCTAAAACATGGAGTTAGCCATATTTAAAAATCGGCTCAAAACGAGCCTATTAATAACACTATTTGAAAGAACACCTTTCAAAACGGCTCGATTTGAGTCGATTTTTAAAAACGGTTGACTCGGTATTTTAGCCAGAAAAAAAAGTGTATTGCTTAAGACTCGAGATTTCTCTAATAGATGTCCAAACCCTTGTACCTTCTATAAGAAAAATTCTTCAGACTTGCTTAATATTTTTCTGGATAAGAATATTGAGGTCGGTGAATCCTTATTTTATAAATAAATAATGATTTAAAAATTTAAAAGGATTTTTGATATTTCTTTAAATTTCTAAATATTAGCGAATATTTATTCATAAAATTGACACACACACTCGCATTTATTTTTCGCTGGTGAATATTATTTTTTTTTAATTATAAGTCACAGCCACAAGTTTTTAAAAAATATAAAATATTATTTACTCAAAGTTTTTTAAAAAAAATAATTTACAAAACATTTAAGATAATTATGGAATCACAGCAGGCCAAGCAATCCTTGGCCGATATCGAAGCCCGTCACCAAGATATCATCAAATTGGAGAACAGCATAAGGGAGTTGCACGATATGTTTATGGATATGGCCATGCTAGTCGAGAGTCAAGTTTGTTAGAAAAAAATAAAATATTTAATAATGTTAAAATATAAATTTCGGTTCAATATTGATGTATTTATGAGATGAGAATTATAGGAAAAAATATTTTGAAATTCGATATTCGCTATCCGTTTTTATTTCTGGTCTCCTCCATATTCCAATTAATGACGATATTATAAATAAGGGAGAAATGATCGATAGAATCGAGTACAACGTGGAGCAATCGGTCGATTACATAGAAACCGCCAAAATGGATACCAAAAAAGCCGTCAAATATCAAAGCAAAGCCCGAAGGGTTCGAATAATATCTATGATATGTCGTCAGTTGTGTATACTATATTATTTTATATCCACACTTTTTTTTGCAAGAAGCATTATTTTCCGATAAATCAATTCTTAAAAATTATAAAATATGATTTAGAATTAATCCTTTATTTTGTATTATTCTCCTATTTAAAAATACAATCAATATTTTTATAAATTATTTTTTTGTGATGCTTCTTGTAAAAAAATTTTAAAAATGGATACACAATACTATAACACTCAGCCGATGATGCATAATATATTCTCTTTTCAATATTCACTAAAACTATATCCTATCATATCGTGATATCAATCGACAGATAATTTGAATAATTTGGTATAAAAAATTTATGCGGATGACTTGCTGATTTATTTTGATGGTAGAAATTTTTGATTGAATCGTGGAGTACAATTTACTTTTTCTATCTAGTCATTTTTCTAAGTCTCCTAGTATTTAATTTGCTGTGAGAGCTTTGAACTAAATATTAACATTTATTGGGTCTCCGAGATTCCTTATTACATGCTTGGTCCGGGTCAGGATTCTTGAATTGCCTTATTTTCGAGATTTTTCCAAAAGATGGCCAAATCTTCGTGCTATCCTTTGGCGGAATATCGAGACTTGGGTAATATTAGTTTGGCAAATTTTTTGATTTGATTGGTCTATTTTCGAAGTTTTATTTAAAGAAAAAGAATTTATTTTTATTATGCAGTTTTTGTAATAATTAAATATAAGATCTGTTGGGTGATTTTTTTTAACAAATTAGAAATTAAAATTTTTTTAAACATTTTATATAATTTAAGAAAAAAATACTCATCATCATATGCTTAGCTGTCCTCATTATCATTCTTATCTCAGTCCTAGCTGGAATATTTGGGTAAAATTTACCTTTATTAAATAAATATTATATATTATATTGTATATCCAAATAAGCTTTGATGACTACAGATAAAACCCCGATGTATTTTAACATTTACCGTTCTTCTCCCGATAATCCTTTAATATTTTCAAGGTTTTTTAAACGTTTTCCTCAATTCAAACGGTTAAAATTCCTGGTTCATTTGAGAAATGTGGAATCGGGGTTTTAACTGGAAATTGGCTGAAGAAGCTTGACAATCAGCTAGTAAAATATTTTCGTAAGCGATCATGTTTTAGGGCTGCATTTGTCCTAATTAGACAGTTTATAATCCTAATTACATTATTGATTACGAAAAGAAAATTATCTTTGGGCATAGGCCCATATGATAATTCTGTAAAGAAAACCATATTTTTTTGATAATTATTTGTATTGCATGTTGATGTTTCATATAAGGTTTGGTTTTTCGGAATTTCTCGATTTCAAATCATTTAACTGAAGGGCGATATTTTAAATTTGAAATCTGATTTACCTTTATATGTATTCCCAGCATGTGTAAGGATACCTCTAACCAGGCAATCAACTGTAAATCGGTTCGGTATATAATAACGGTTAATACCGGGTAAACTATTCAGGTTTGGGTTAGATCCCTTCCTATGACCCTATAAAATTGAGACCATTTCGCCATTAACTTTTGCATATCGTCGGGTCAATATTTCTATGTTCTCTGTATCTACTTTTGACAAAATGGATTTTTTTTTCCAATAAATCCATTCCTTAATGTTATATTGATTCATATTCCAAATAAAAATGTGAGAAAAAAAATTTAATAATTAGTTTATTTATTAACAATATTATATTTATTCAATCTGTTATTTAATAGAATATTACAATATTTTAATCTTCAATAACTAATCGAATTACAAATATCTAGTCATTTAATTTCTTAAGATGTGGCTATTTCAAAATTTTGTTAATTTTAAATAATGAAAATGTTATCCATCTAAAACTTAAGTAATTTTTTTTGTCTTTAAAGAAAAGGCCACTTTTTATAGTGCAATTTTTGTATATGGAACATTTTTTTAACTTTTTATTGGAAATAATATTATTTTTTTTACAAAGTTATAAAAATAAGTTTTCTGTGAATATTATTTTTTAGGATACGCTATGATAAGTTGCCTAGATATCATTCTAATACATAAAAAAAAATTCTATGTCTTTATTCGTTGAAAATAAACCATGTAAATAATTTTTGGAAATGCTCTCCTGATTGAAAATAATGGATCATTAAAATATTGACCCGACAATATATATATTTTTTATTACTTAATCGAAAAGTTCAATTACCATCTTTCTGAAATTTACTTTGTATGTATGCACTCTATGCATGCCAGATATACGTATCGGGATAAAATCATATTTTTTAATAAAAAATTTGTACTCACTAAATTATTTCAAATCGATTTAACACGCGTATATTTGTTAAATGGCTCGATTTGAACCGATTAAAATGGCTAACTCGATATTTAACTTAGAAAAAATATTATGCCAGCCTGAAAATTTTAGATATAGATGGGACAAAGGTTTGGAAGTCTATTAACAAAATCTTGAAGTTCAGGCACAATATTTTTCTGACTAAAATATTGAGTTAGCCATTTTAAAAAAATAGGCTCAAAACGAGTTGCTTAACACCATTACGTAAAAAAAAACTATATTTGTTTTCTTCAATTTTAAATGAAATGCGTTTTCTTTTAAATTTTGATTAATTCCTGTTTATATGTGTAACGAAATATTTTTAAACTTAATAATTTCTTTTTCTTTTTTTATAATTTTTAACCCTTATTTTTTTTTAATCATCTACTTGTATACAACGTTAAAAAGTTAATCTCTCTCGAAATTTATCGCATAAATTTGAAACAATACCTTTAAAAATATGTTCCGGACAAAGTAACAAACACAACCATTATAACTTCATTGTGTCGATTTATTATTTTTAAAGTAAATAAAATTATTTATTATACCATTTGCTATATGCATTCAATGCTTTTCTATTTTTTGGACATTTATATTTTGATCAGGGTTATATATTTGACCGGTCATAAACGAAATTTAAGTAAATATTTTTTTTAAGGCATTATTAACTTTAATGATAGTCATTAAATCTATATAAATTTTCAATATTTTTTAACTGGTAAGGAGTAATTTTTTTGATTCATATTCAATATTATCTATCCTAAATCTATTTCTGTTTTAGTGTGAATATTAATCCAAATCGACCAATTCCTTTCTGGATAGTAAAATTCCCCTTTAGGCAAAGGTGGGTAAAGCCCATTCCACTAACTTGATATTACCCTGATTTTTCCTTATGGAAGTTAATGCTTTTCACATATTTTTGCTATTAAACATGCCGCTTTTCTTTCTGAAATTTATGATATCACTTATAATATTTTGATCATCACCACCTTGTAAGATGTCTAATTCTTCTATTATATCTCATTAAATTCACTACTGGTAAGATCTACTTCCCTTGATACTGGGGACCCAATAATTTTTTTCCTCTTTTTTTTCAAATATATTTTTAATTTATTTTTTCTTAAGATTTTTTTGAGTATTATACCAGGTCAAATACTCCTCCGGTCAATTGACCGACTTGCCAACCCTGATCTTGATACATTATTGCTTACGAAAAGTAGATCAGTTTTGGACATAGATTAATATGAAAATATTTAAGGTATTCATTCGTCTATTCTTGTAAAAAATAAAAGGAACATTTGGCAGAACAAAATATTTATTTTTAAACAGAGTTTGAAAAAAAAATTGTGATTCCATCTTGAAAGATTTTTGGAATGCATAAAAATTTTTTACAAAAAATTGGCATTTTTAGGTAAAAGATCGATAAAAAAAATTTTTTGATGATTTTTTTTCAATCTCTGTTTTTTTTGAAATATAATAAATTATCGTATTATTATTTTTTGATTTAGATCCTTAATAACTTTGTAAGATATTATAGTTTAGGTCCACAAAAACACAAGGAAATTGCCAGCTGATTTATTTAAATTTTTTTATTGATCTGTTTATAATGACGTGACGTTATTTGACAGATGATCAGTAAAAAAAAATACTTTATTAAAAAGCAATTTTTTCTCTTATATAATGGCCCTAACCCATTATTTTTTAATTTTAAAATTCTTCCAAATAAAAAATTACCTTCAGATCCACTTTCCTTGAGTGGACCTGTTATCTTTAATATAAGTTACATATTTTATTTAAAACTTCTCTTAAATTTTGTTTTTATTTTCATGGCAATGAAGAAACGGAGAATTAAATTGCGAATAAATTTAATAACAATATTTATTTTGTTTATTATAGAAAACCTGGAAAATGAGACGATATATATATATACTGGTCTGTTGTTTTTTGGCGTTTACATATATTTAAAAAAGTAATGTATATCAAAATCAACCAATCAATACATTCCAAATTCTTGGTACCAATCAACATCATTCTGAATAGTGACCAACCAAGCGAAAATGAAATTAAATTACAGATTAATAATATTGTGATCAATTCGAAATAAAACAAAACATTTTTTTTTTGATTTTATTTTCAGTTCTTTTGCCCTACTTTTAAATTATAATTTTTTTTTTCTACTTATAATTATAAAAAACAAATCTTTTTTTTTACACCCTTCACCCCTCCCATAGCTATTAAATACTAATATGCAGATAAAAAGCATTTAAAAGGTCTTCTGGCTAATTAACGTTATCATTGGATAGCACTGACTGGTAGTTGCTATTATTTTTTTTCTAAAATTGATAGTTAGTGGAAAGCAATAAAAAAAAATGATATTTTTGATATATTAATATAATTAGACTCAATTTTAAAGAAAATAATTATTTAATGGAAAAATCCATGACCTTTTTGCCAATTATTTATTCAAAATGTTATAATGAAAAAAAAACAATACTTTTTATAATTCTGGTTTTATTCATTTTTTTTTGATAAGCTTTCGATCTTGTAGTTTGAAGTTATAGTTCGTCGGTCTAGAATTGGAGTGCTCCACACGACATTTTCAAAATTTTTGAGTTAGTAATGGATAATAACTTATTTATTCCCAAATATATAATATAAATAAAAACTAGATTTAAAAAAATATAATTTTTGCCAAAGTTATAGCTCTGTCAAAATTGATCAATAAGCTTTTCCTATATTTTATTTTAATCTTTAATGTTTATTTTCTCATTTTAAAAACATTTGCGCAAGTGGAACACTCCAATCCTATCCCGACGAGTTTATAAAAAAAAATATTAAATGCAAAATAAAAAAAAATAACCTTGCTTTCCAATGAAAATCGCTCGTAATTCGCAACATCGAAAAATTACGCTATATTGTAAAAAAAATAAAATCAACTTTGTAATAATTTTTTATTTTTTTCGCAAAAAAAAATTTCTCTATATAGAAAATTTTGGAAAAGAGTATTTTGTTGTATACCTGTAAAATATTTATTTATTATTTTTTATATATAAAATTTTTTATTTATTCATTGTATGGATGAGATGTATAACTTTAAAAAATAAACTGTAAATTAAGATTTGAGATGTTCGCTTTGACTGAGCAGCTGAAAAAGTAAGATAAAATAAGAAGAAAAAACTACACCGCCAAGTACTTAAAAACCAAAAGGGGTGTTCCTAGTTCAAAAACTGTTTAGTTTTCAAAACCTTAATTTATTGTTTTCACTAAAAATTTTGCACTAGTAATAGTTATAACAGCCTGCACTATTTTTTTTACCATAAAATTATAAAATAACCCATTCAGAAATTAGCATTATATATATATAGTACAGTTCAGTCTAGCCGATTTTTAAAGACGCACCGTGTGAATTACAATAAAAAGCCCAAATAGAACCATGAATATGAACCACAATATAAAGACCGGGCCTATTTTTATTATGGGTTTTAAAAAGCCTATGTATAAGCAAAATATCGTCATAAAATTGAAAAATTTTGATTTATTTGTAAATAATAGATATTAATTAAATATGATATATATTACCAGAATAAAATTAACTTCATTTGATATTATTTAACAGATTTAGAGGTATCTTTATCTATTCTACATACATTTTGATGTATTTTTAATTTACGATTTTTTATATTAAAGGTAATAATATTTGAATCAAATTCATTTAACAATATGTCCGAGATTTCATTAGAAAAAACAAACCATGCAAATTTTATTTTACGCAATGGATGATGACAACATGGTAAATTATATTCGATTCTTGGGCACGCCATAGATGGTGTATGAGCATTAATATAATATTTAACACTTAACAAATTTTAAATAATTTTTCTTAAAATAAGTGTCGGAATTTTAATATATTTAAGGATTATACCAATATTAGTTATTCATTTATTATATATAACTACTATGCAGTTAGTGTCGGGTAAAAAGAGTTCAATATGGCTAAAAAATTTTACAGATAAACTAGGGTGCCTGCCTTAATGATAAATATCTAAAATGTAACAATTATTTATATATTGTATGTGAATCTAGGACTAATCTTAGCTTATCGCCACTTTTTCCGCTATGCAATCTATGAGATGATTAATTGGCATATAAAAATAATAAATCAGCAAGGCCATATAAATTATACACTAAACAGTTAGATAAAATAAAGAATGGTTTATTTAATTTGCGGTATGTATAGTATTCTCACAATCACTAAAACTAGAAGTCAAATAATGTTTAAATATCATTATAATAAATTTACTATGCGAATGCTTTTAAATTTGGACACTATTTCGCTAAATCTTAACTTCTATAATTAATAAAGCTTTTAAATATCAATTTTAATAAATACCTTATCATATCTTTGGAAGGAACTGATATTTATATTTTTTTTAGGATGATGATGATTCATATTTAAAATTTTAATTTAGATTGTTGTATTTAAGCCTATTAAATTATGATTATAATAGATAAATAAAGTAAAAATCATTATTATAGTTAATATTCTTAAATATTTAGAGTCAATATAATTACAATCAATATATACGTATTATACTAATATATTAAGTTATTAGAAAATTACAAAATTTGAATACAAATTCTATAAAAAAATTAATAAATATAATTTATGAGAAGAAATTTAAGAGGAAAAATAATTTTAAATTGGAAAGAATAAAAGGGAAGATTTAATTTTTTAATGAGGGACCATCATCGGGGCGATTGAAAAGATACACAATTTGCCTTAAGAAGTCTATGGCGGTTCTCTGTCATAGATAAGACTCAAAGAATTTTTTCTGATTTGGAAGTTGACGTCTACCAAAATTTTTTTCTAGCTAAATTTCTATATGTTGTTAATGTTGGTAATTTGTAGAATCAGCGCTTTATTTGTCGATCTTCAAATTATGCGCTTTGCCTTAGAGCGTCCTTGTTAAAATTAGAAGAGGAGTCTGTGTTCAGACTAGTCCCATATTAAAAACTTTCCTTGTGAGTTTTGATTATGGAATTCGTTCGATTCCATCATAATGTCTACCATCGTAAAAGAGATTAGAAGGATAATATTTATATTGTTTGATCTTATAATGTGTAAAATAAATTGCGAATATTATAAATGAAAGCAACAAAAGAGTGAATTACATTTATTAAATTCATATTTAGTCAATCAATTAATTTTATTAGCGTTAATCAACCGGATCAAAACCAAATAAATTTGGAAAATTTATCTTAACAATAATTGCTACTGAATTTTAATACTATTTCTAAGAATTATTTTTAGCTTCCCTTTGAAATATTTATTCTAGTTCCTATATCACTGCCTTGAACATTCTTACCGAATAACAGGTGTTTTATACATTTTTGGCATGCAGGCATCTAAAAATTTTATTTTTGGAAACATCGTGAACAAATAATAAAACTATACGAACTCCTCATATTAATTTCCCCAGTTTGATGGAAATAAGGAAAATCTAGCATATCTGTTCTATCTACAACTAGAGGATGAGACGTTTTTATCACGAACGTGAAAATAATAAAACTATGAAGGATATGATAATTAATTAATTTGTCTAAATAAGTAAAATGGTCAAACTGAAGTCTAAAATTTCTTCAGAGGAAGAAGACTCTTGGCTTGAATTTTTTAAAGATTTTCCACTGAAGCCAAGGAAAAAGAAATTGCATTCTAAACAAGTATGAAATGTCTGAATATTAACTATTTTAAATTATTTAGGTCTATAAGTTTAAAAAATAATTATTTAAGTTAGTTATGTACCTAATAATTTATATATCTATTTACCTAAGATTATTTGTATTTGAAAATAAAGCTCAGTATTTTTCATAAAATTTTGGTTTTTTACTCTCTTATTAATATTTATCATTCCAGTTAAATTTAAATCACAAATTTCAAAATAATTTTAATTGATGATTATAAATATATAAAAATATAATATAGGTTCAAAATATACCATGAGTTATCAAAATATTTATTCAATTTTTTTAATTTGTATAATTATATTTGACATAGTAATGTAGATCTCTTTAACACAAATTATTTATATACAAGAAATATAATTATTTATTTATGCTATAAAAAAAACTAATATGAGTATTTAAAACTATTTAAAATGATTTTTCTATATTTAATAAAATTAATATATAGTAGTGATTGGCATATAAAAAGAGATATGATTAGGAAATTATTTATCTTGCTTGAGTACAAACAAACACCTTGTAGTTTGTTTGAAAATATTAATAAATTTCAATAATTAAGATAAATTTTAAAATAAAATTAGGCAGATTTTATATTTGTAATCATTACAAATATCTATTATAGTTGCTGAAATAACTGTTCTTAAAGGCACTTGTAATTATTTAATTTTTAATGCAGTTGCAAATATATTTTTTTTATAAGCACTAATTGCAAATATCTGTTTTATATAAGTAGTTGTTGCAATTAATTAGCACTATATATGCACTCAGTGCTAATATTTATTATATATGATCATTTATTGCCTCAAGTATTTATACTCTAGAATTTCTTAATTTGGCAACCATATACAAGTAATAATTTTAATTTTTTATAGTATTTTATATTTCTTTACATTCTCTACAATTTCTATAAGTTTAATTGTTTTTACTACACCTATGCATTAATTTTTTATTTTTATTAAATTTATAAATGCCTGTAACAAAATTTGAAAAATTTACTTTTTTCATGAATTTAATGAGGCCAGCTTGACCTATGAAATACATTAATATAGTATTTCAGATCAACCATCTTTAGTTGAAAATTCTATAATTAAGTATTCAAATATAATTTAGCATATTTTATATTTAAACATGGACTTAAAAGACATAGCACTTCTTCTGAATGCAGAAACAATTCCAGTTTGTGCAAAGAATGTTTATTCAATCTTGACATTGTTTTAAAATCTAATATAACCCTGGAACCTTATTTAATATTTTATTTAATGAATTACAAATCAACTATACTCTAGATTTAAAATAAACTCATTAGAAAGTTATATTTATAATTTTAATAAAATATATATATGAAATATTGTCAAAACAAAGACAATTTAATTTGCTATTTGAAGTACCTCATCACATGAAAAATACAGATATGTTTATATCCAAGGGAAAAGATCTCAAACAAGGCCTTCCTCATCAAAAATATGTTTTGCTTTAACCACCCATAAACAAGCTATCTGAGAATGCCCTATGCCCATCAACTGCTAATGAAATAAATAAGAAATTTCCATATTCATTATGTAATTGACATCTATAAATAGAACCTCAGAATAATTATTAAACATTGTTGCATACAACTTAAATGTAAATTCCATGTAACTCCTAATTTTCTTCCAATGTTTCTACTATTGTCCCCTTTTAGTTTTCTAACTGGGACACCACATTAATAAGTGTATTAGGGCTCATTTTCTTTTTTCAAACTGGCCAATATATTTAAGTGTTGTATTTACTCCAGATTTGTATATACATTCTTGGATCTCCACTTCATTACCTTTAAGCTATAGTGCTTGTTCACAATGAAGTCAAAACATATTATGTGTGAAAAATATGTGCAATATCTTTAAAGTAACAATTACAAGTTATACTAATGTATAAGGAGTTTTTCAACAGAAAGGCCTTATTTGAGATCTTTTCCCTTTCTGATATACATTTCTGTATTTTTTGTGTGATGAGGAGCTTTAAACTTCAAACGGGAAATTTTACCCTTGTTTCGACAACATTCATACAAATTTTAATCAAAATTTGAAATATCTATTTGCTGATGAATTATTTATAATCTGGAGTATGGTTGCTACATAATTCATTTATAGTCTGGAGTATGGTTGCTACGTAATTTATTAAATAATTAACATTCTTTATATAATAGAAATGATTCTGTTTTTATTAGAAGTGCAATGTCTTTTAAGTCCATATAATTGTTTTCAATTGGATATTTAAATTGGGTTGATCTGGAAATTACTATATTAATGATCTTATTTTTCAAGATAGCCTCATTACTCATGAAAGAGTAAGATTTGTCAAATTTTGTTAAAGGCATCTATAAATTTATTGGAAAGATAAAATTTAATTTACAGGTATAATAAAAATAATTTTAATTATAGAATTTTAGAATAATGTAAACACTTATAAAATTCTATAAAAAAAATTACAATTATTACTTGTACATGGTTGCCAAATTATAGAGTATAAATATTTGAGGGAAAAATTTATGGAAATTTATTAAGCCTAAATTTGTAAAGAATAAAAAATTCTATAAAAAAAATTTACAATTAATTTCACTTTTAGTTAGAAATTTTAAAATATAAAAAGTAGAGATCAACCTGTATAAAGACTTTTTGGCCCAGCTATTTTCTCCATCTGAGCTTATTGGGGAAATAGTGTCTTGCCTAATTGTGTTGTTAAAAACTTCGATTTAATTAATTTAAGAAAACCTTTATTTCGTTAAATGATGGAAGAGGGATCAAGATTTTCATCTTTTTTTAAACTAAATCTTAGATTTTTTATCAATCCTTCACCTAATGAGCAACTAAAGATATCAAATTTTTTTACCGTTGTCGGGCCGAAAATATTTTTAGCCAGAACCCAGTTGATTCGTTCTGAATTATATTTTATTTTAACACCGTTTTTGGTCCACGACTACGAAAGGTAATCAATATAGACCATTTTGTAAGTATTAAGCATTTTAAATAGGAGAACGTTGAACCCAAAGGAAGAAAATATGTTTATCACATTTATCCGTTTCGAGAAGATAACAGGAGCGTTAGACTTCATATTTCACCTTATACCTTTGGTCTTGAGAAACTTTACATTATTTGATACCAGAATAATTATAGGCTAAAAGATTTCTGATAAAATAAATTTTTTTAAAATAACGTTAATTATTTATATTCTTAAGCCTGATAGCCAACATATTCCTTACTCTTCCTTAAACTATTTCAAAAATGGCGGATTTAATGATCTCGATCGATGGACCTCTCGCGATATCAATTCATTTTTTTCGGCCGCGTCCGCCTTTTCTTCATCCACTGCCAATCGACTTGTTGACAGATTTTTCCAGAGTTCGAATCATCATGATGACGACCAAGACTGGTTTCTTAATTATTTACACGGTATTCGGGCCGATTTCCAGTGTCAGGAGCCGTTCGGGAGACCCCCAGAAACGTCGGGAGAAGCAAGGTTCTTAGGTTTTGAAAAGGATGATGATGGTAAAAATGGTAAAGACTTGAGCATTGAAGATTTCAAGAAAGAAAATGATAACCTGTTCCCAAAATCATCGCTTGGCAATGACGCGAAATCAGATTCGAGCAATAAACGTAGCACATTTAGTCGGAGACCGCTTTGGACTAGTCACCGTGATGGGAAAAAGTCGCCCGAGGTCCCCACTTTTGCCCGCTCTCGCTTTAGGAGTTGTGGCTTCGGTTCGAATGCGTTAAACGATAAACTCAAGGATAAACATTCTAACCTAATTCACTCTTGCAAGACTCGCCCAAATATTTCGCTTAAGGTCAGGAGTCCCACTTTCACCCATTACGTAGAGATAGATACTGACACCAACGGGAACTCCGATCAAACACACAGTGAAACCAGGGTCGAAAAAGGATCTGCTCTCGAAGCAGAATATTCGCATCCGACAATGAAAGACAAAAACGATAGAACCAATTCAGAGGAATCGACCGTCATGGTAGAGGGGAGAAACTACAAAAAGTCTCAGCATAAAGATTCACTCTCGCAAGATTTATTTGACTACTCCACCGCCTTCTCTTCCCGCCATAGCTGGAATCCTGGTAACAGGCGGCTTTTTAATGATTTTTTTATGGCTAAGAAAAAAGGCCTTTTGAACCGCTTGGCTTCTTTTTCTTACCCAACCCGGGCCCATTTCGCAGTAGTCGATTTCGATAAACCATTCATGTGCTTGGAGAGTAAACCCATTAAAATTCAATTCAATACACCCTCTGATAGTGACCGGGATGTAACTGACGCCGAACCTTTATCGAAGAAAAATGTTTATAAATTAGGCTCCGATAACAAGGACCATCCTTATGATCCGGCTTCAAAGGTCTCCCCTCCCATTCCTTCTAGAGGGAAAAAAATTACTGATACCGAACTGCGAGATTCGCTAAAACCATCCGCTAAAGACGGGCACCAAGGATTCGCTTTGAAGAGGAGGCCACCCGTCGATAAACACTCGCCATTTTTTTTAAAATTTCGCAGCGAAAATACCGTAAACCGGGAAGAATTATCTTATTATCACGATTCTATTTCTTGTGCCAGTCTTCCCAACATTCATGATACACCTATCGAATATAATATTGAACCAAACTCTAACGCCTCTCGTCGCTCCCCTTCTCGGAAGTTTGACTATTCCAGTAATTCTCGCTCGCCGGAGAACGTATGTCATCATTTACCAGTAGATCACGCTAACCTACCCGTGGGTAAACTAGGAGTTCGGGAAATTTTAGACCACGATTCTAGGACTGAATTTCAGAATCGACTTACGGCCCTATTAGACTTTGGTGACCAAGAAAGTCCTCAATACACGGATAAATTCTTACCCGACCCTAACATGGCCCAGAGCAAGCCCGATAAAAGTATCAGATGGCGCAGCAAGCTGTCCGAACTCATGTGGCTTGAACTTAAAGCCCACTTAGCGGGCTTGTCGATGAGACAACAAGATAAATGGCTCTGCACCGAACGAGAAACCATGTCTGATATTTTAGACATCATATCCTCCTTTAGGCTAAATAATGATTTTAATATGAGATCGGTGGGTTACCCCGTTTGTCTAGGCCTTCCTGGCATATTAGAGGGCGTTAACAAAGAAAACGAAGCTGTGATCGATCACACCTTCACTCGTGTCGCTGCTATCTTGGAGGACCTTGATAAGTTCGAATCACTCTTTCCTAATTGTAACGCAATCACTCTCAAATACCCCCAGTACCGCGATGCTAAATTTTGTTCACGGGTCAAGACCTTATGCCTATGGTACAATATCAACTGGATCATAAGATATAAAATTAGGGCGCTGGCTGACATTCTTTACGTCTCACTCGTGCCTGGAATCGAGTGGCCTTTCGTTGACACCACTCCCATGCCCGAACAAATGTATTCGCCAAATAAAATCGGTAACGATGGCGATTCATCGAGCTCGCCATGTCAGACCTGCTTCAACCCGGAACTTACCTCGCGTTTCGACTCTTACTCCTCTTTCAACTTCTGGAACACTCTAGTCAACGATCGAAGCGATGACCGATCTCCCCCTTCTCCTACCTCGATTTATCGCGTTTACGTGGAGAAGAGCGTACGGCGAGGCACCCTGGCTAAGATGATATTTGGACTGACCCAGCTGCTTCACCCCACCTTTCAGAGGATCAGAGCAGCCCTCAACCCTCGCTCACCTTTTAGCGAACAAGATTTTGATAAAGGAGAGATGGAGGATGAGTACGTGCACGGGTTATCGGCTCTCAACGAGGTAACCTCTATAGAGTCGGAATCGAATCTTTGCTTGCAGGACTTCCTCCCAATCATGGACATCAAATACGGTTGTTGGGCCAAAGACGATTCAAACGAAAATGTTTCTCGATACGGGACATGTGGCACCGAATTTGGCGCCATGAATCTGCCTTCTTTTCGCACCCCTTTTCTCTTTTTAATAAGGGTACCCTTAGACGTGGTTCACGAATGGCTGAAGTTAAGAATTGAGCAAAAACCACTCAACCCTTCCTTCCTGAGCGCGAATCAATTGTTGCGGGAGTGTAAGGAAGTTCTCAAAGCCGCCATTCTTATGAGACACTATTATGAGACCTTTGTCAAGGTTTAGTTTTATCAGATTTTTTTTAACCACACTTTTTACTTAATTTTAAGTAATATGTCACTCTAAAGTATTAACTAATAATCTTCTATTTTAACTTGTTCTAATTGCTTAGGCCGTATATTTAGACAATGAATTTCCAAACATGGAACTGGATACGTTCGATCAAGATCTCAAGAGCATGTATGTTTTGTATTTGGAATATTTGGAAAAACTTGTCCTATTAACCCCCGAAAATACTGATCACACGCAAATCACATTGTTGGAACAAGAATGGAGTTTTATCAAAATGATTAACCCTTATGTGGTCGACCAGGAGGTATAAATAAAAGAATATAGCACTTAGAATAACGATCTTGCAGACCCTGAACTCTGCCAACCTATCCGGCCCCGAACGGACCGCAATATAACAATGTTAAAAATATGGGCCGGGCATAAAAATTGGGGAAAGTTCTAAATCTTTGCCAGGGCGAAAAATTTGATTTTTTATAGGTTTTTGGTATTTGTTAAGGCTAGATAAAATGAATTAGAGAAGCGTTGCGCATGTTTATAACCTAACATAATTAAAATTAATACATTTTTCCCCCACGCGCATTTAGATCGACGCGAGTAGCAAGATATGCTTACTGATAGGAAAGCTTGTAAGCAGCATCTCCGTGGTCATAAAAGAAGGCAGTGAAGAATGTTTGGAACATTTTAAAAATTCTAACATAAAGGAACCACGGGCGCTCGACGATAACAGCTCCCTAATTACATCAAATTTGAATCAAAGGAATACTTTAAACATGTCCACCACGTCAACTATGTCGACATTCCAAGACTACGATATCTCGTCAAATTACGGTTCTTCCACCAACATAAACTACCATTATGACCCCAAAATCGATGACCTACGCCAAAATACCGGGGTGGGTAGAGATGACACCCCTCCTCAAAATAATTTTAACGTCGATAATCTCGTTCTTCTCGATTTCAGGACCACGTTCTCGGTGGCCAAGGAACGGGCTGGCAAAGTCATGGGACTTTTCAGAACCGTTAGGCAAGATTGCGAACACATAGCCGGGTACGAACCTAGCTCCTTATCTTGCTTGCCGAATCCCGATGAGAACGAATATCGGTATCTTTTTCAGAAATTATGCCAAAGCGGTTTCGTTTCCTTGGCTTTTCGAAATGCTTACCGCGGCAGTCTTGCCTCCACTGCCAATAACGATAATAACATTGTTAATAATAACGAAGAAACCCGAAGAGGAAGTGATTTTTTGCTCAGGGTAGCCTCCACCAGGAACGATCATCAAAGAGCTCTGTCGCTCAAGGAAAGTAGGCAACTTTCTCGTATCGCTCCGCTTTATCGAGCTAACAGAGCGCGTGAGAGAAACGATATCGACTCTCGCGTAAAATCGTCGGAGATCAATGATATTGCCAAGGACACTTCACCCCATTTTCCACCTTTGCGAAAATTCGAAAGCTCTCCTTTCCCAACTTTGTCCGTTTTGAACGAAGCGCCTCCTTTTAAGAAGTCCCCTGATACGATACCCGAAGAAGAAGCTAACTCTAACACAAGTACTGTGACACGCGACTCCCCCTCTCTTTCTACAGAAGAAATTGGGAGGTTACCTTCTGACCTATCTAAATCTTGGGTTTTCGTTCCTAAATCGATAGCCAAAGACTCCCTAGCTCTGTCTCGGTTGTTATTCGCCGAATCGTGGACCCGCCATTCTTCTCATCACAAAACACCTTCTCCAGTAAAAAAGGGCGTCGAAACTGATTTATACGAGTTTATGCTACTCGTTAAGACGGGCAGAAACATTTCCAAGAGTTTACCTGCCCGTAATACTGGATACTCTCCCGAATGGGCTGGCAAGACGTTTTATGTCGACTTATTGAATTATGGTGCAAGTAAAAAAGATAAATATTCTATTTTCGATTATGATAATTTTTCTTCATAATTTCATGAAATAAATATCCCCATTTATAAATAAGCATGCTTTATTTATAATCATTAAAATTAAACAGGAAAATAAGCATCGATAATGTAAGTTTATTTTATTTTCTCAAGAAATAAAATCCTATAATGATATATTAAATTAATATTACTTTCCGCTTGACATTTTGTAAAAAAAAGATCATTTAAATTATTTTTTTGTTTGTACACATTTAAAAAAAAATGATTGCTAACCCATCCCAACCAATAGCTCAACCCCTTAAAAAGTTCGCCGATTTAACTGGTGATAACAATGATAATACGTGTACACTTTTCTTGGTGAGTAAAACGGCTTCTCTTCTCAACAAACAGAGGCGTATCGTCGAAGATATGCTATCCCTAAACAAGGCATTCACCCTGGTCAAAGCCCAAATATCGCCCAGGCTAAGTTTTAACCGCTCTGTCGAGACCGTCAAGGCGAATATAACTGACCTTCTCAGCGGAACTCTCAAAGTGACGGGCGATTTGCTGAAACATTTAGAGCACTTCGACTCCGAAGGAATGCCCGAGAGTAATTCTAGGATCCGGGACAATTACAAGGACACTGTACTTTCATGTTGCTTCGAGTTCGGGTTTGATTGTTTCAAGGTTATCATAAATATTCTATTTATCTTCTTAACACCTCAGTTGTTAAAAACGAATACCTATAGAATCGAATAATTTATAACATTCGTATTAAAACGAATAATTGAACTGATTATTTTTATTTGATTCGAAATAATTACGAATATTAAATTATTCGCTTCGTTTAAATTGATCGAATATGTCGATTCATATTCGATTTTGAATAGGTCTAGGTCCCGGCCCTGATTTTTATATATAGTATATCCTTTTATTTAATAATCTAGATTTAAAATGTTTGGTTTTAAAATATTCGGCCTGGCTCGGGTGTTGGCCGTGGCCGGACATGTAGGCCTCTGATTTATTTATTAATAAAGTTACTCAAGATTTGAGATCATAATAGATATCCATTTTAAAGTAATAATTAATTTTAACACGTATATGTACTTCCTATAAGCACACCGAGAGCACCGAATAGGTTAATGATGCTTACTACCTTAAGGTACTACCTATCAAATTTGAATTTTGTCCATTTTTCATTTGGATAGGCACTACTAAATATATTTATAATATATTTGAAAAATAGTGATTTTTGGAAAGCCTCTATGGCCTAGTAGGCAAGAGCTACGCTTACTTATCCCATGGTTACGGGTTCGAATCCTTGGAATGGTCATGTTTTTTTTTCTTAATCTAACTTGGTGGTTCCATCCTTGGGGGAGGAGGCCGGACTCGACCACGTGATTCCGTTATAATATATTAAATAATAAGGGTCATATTACATTTTAATAAATTTTGGTCGGTATTTAGCAGAGTTGTTAAACGCTATTTTTAAAAGTAGCGCGCTACCGCTTTCGCTATTTGTCAAAAAAGTAGCGCGCTATTAGCTACTTTTTATAAAAAAAATTTTAGAAACAAATGAAACAAATTTTTTTTATTTTTTTTTTGCTTATAATGTAAATGTATAATAAATAATATATAAAAATCAACATTTATAAATATAAAAATATAGTTAGTTTAGATTATAAAAAAATAAGCAATATAAATAAATATTTATTTTAATTTGTTGCATTTTAATAATAATATCATTTCAATATTATCATCCCCAAGTCTAGAGCGACGATCAGAAAGTATAAGCTTTGCTTTACTAAATAACCTTTCGACACTAGCACTTGAGGGCAAGGAAGCTCTAAAAATATTTAATCAGATCAATTTATAATTATAAATAAGTTTTTACCTTCTGTTATGTGGCCAACTATCTGCCGGTGTACATACATAAGATATATCTGATAACTCTACTATTAGAGCATCTTTCATCACTTTGAAGTTGTCGGCTATTTTATTCATAAGTGTCTGGCGACATAAAACTGTTGTGCCAGGGGATAAAGTTTTAATCATCATAGTAAATGATGGATTATCAACCAAGGACAATGGCTGAACTGTGTCAATAATAAAATCAACAATTACTTTATCAGCCAATATTTGTGAAATATTGGCATGTTTATTATCAGTTAATTTGGTTTGGATAGTATTTGTCTTTTTGAATGAAGATTCTCCTATACCAAATTTTTTTATATGTTTCTCTATTTCCTTATAGCAATTGGCGTGAACAGTCTAATAAAATAAATAATATTATAATATTTACCTTTAGGTGTTTCTTCAGGTTTCAAGGATTTGGATATCCATGGGCGATGCCATTTTAGATTATTAACACAGATTGAAAATATAAATTAAAAATATATTTAAATTTCAAAATTAAATAAAAAATTATAATTAATTATGATATTATATTTAAATTTTCATGTTTATACTTACATTCATTATATTTTTTAAAAGTAGCTAAGCTAAAAAATTAAATAATTAAAAAAAAAGTAGAGGCTATTAGCTATAGCTACCAAAAAAGATAGCGCGCTACTTTAACAACTCTGGTGTTGGTATTTAGAATATTTCCATACATTCACTTGGTAGTAAGCATCATTAACCCACCGAATACTCAAATTAAAATAAATTTGCCTTGCCAGATCTCACGAAAGTTTTGTCTATAAAAACCCAACCCTAAGTGAAAATTATATGCCCTCCCTGCCCGCCCCATATTTATTTAAATATAAAAAATTTATCTTTTTTAATCTTGAAAAAAATAAAATATTCTACAAAAGAAATAAATATTTGGCGACCTGTTTTATGCAAAAAAAATTTATATTATATTATAAAAATTATAAACCTGACTCGATTTTCATTTTTTAATATTAGGCTCGATTAGAGGCCCGTTCGGGCCGCGTTCGCATCGGGTGTAGACACCTAATTACTACAAATAACTATATAAATTTTCTGGTTATCAGAATATATAATTTTTTTCTTTAATATAAAAATAAACTTTCAAGGATGCTCTCAAAACGGTCTCCCCCTGCTGTCCTCTTACTTTGAGTTCGTTGCATCATTATCGCCAAGAACCGAATACTCTTAATTTCGAAAGGGAGTTAGATAATAGTATGGATCCCGCTGGAGGAGAAAAATGCTCTGCGAATGAGAACGGAATTCGCGAGTCTGATGATTTTGGCGGAAAATCGTTGTACGGTCCCGTCATCGCCATAGCTATCATTCAGTACGCCAGATTATGGGCCCACTTTACCCTGGTAGTTAAATAATCTAGCTATAAAATATTTTTATTTTACATAAATTTAGAATATTCGGATTCAATTTTTTTTAACGTTTTTATATTGATGATTTAACTTTTATAGAAAAGGACGCGTCCCAAGATTTAAACTATGGGCGAGACGCGTCTGAATATCGCAAATTCTGGACGAGAGATTGCTTCTCGTTCGGGAAGTGAACCGCGTTTTCCATATGTTTAAATCATCAATTATGTAATAAAACAAATTATTAAAAATAATCGTTTAAATGGCGGCCTGGCTCTTTAACACATTTTTTATACTGGGCTTTCGGCCCAGTTCGCATAACTATTTTGCACGGGCAAGCCGACAAGGATTTTTTTTATGCCTGGTATTGTAGATCGGTGCGACGAGAAAATATTTTTATAAATGATCTTACATAAGATAATTAAATATAAAATTTGACAGTAGCTTTCGGGGTTAAAATATTCTGCAGGAGTGATCTTGCACCCCTTTTATTTAAATCATCCTACAAATTTACTATCATTTATTTTAAAAAATATTTCCCACATTAATAAATCATAATATAAGATTTTTTTATGTTCGAATGTTTAATTTATATAGGCAAATTACGAATTAGGTCACGGCAGAAAACCTAGATGGGCTCTTCAGGGCTTTAACTTCCTTAAAGCGGCCTCGGATATTCACATCACTTGCTATCTAAGATCTCAGCGCAACTTCGAAAGCTACAGTGAATTGCTTATTCGTTGCGTTAAACATATATTGGGCACAAAAATCCAGCAATCGCATGAAAGGGACGCATCTCCTCCCAAAAATTCGAAAGATTCTTCTAAGAAAACACCTTTCAATGACGATGGCATTACCGATAAGCTTGGTCACCAAGAAGAATTTTATCACAGCTTGGATAATTTCAATTCTTCTAATAATGATTTGAAGAGTTTGATCCAAGAAACCACTTATTTATATCCGCTCAAAAAGCTTGTCAAATTAGGGGACAAAAAAAAATTTGGGAAAAATTTTTCATGGCCTCATGGAAATTCAGTAAAAAAATAATAAATAATTTAATCTTTATTTTTTTTTGTTCAATTAGCAGATAATGGTTATATTAAATTTTAGCATTACGCGTATAACATTTTAGTATCTTTTTATTTAGGATAGCCAATCAAAAATAAACCAATATCAATTATCCAGAAACCTGTCATCGCCACCTGATGATAAATATAGCTCGCGCTACAATGGCGATAGCGATTCGGGTAACGAGTTAAAGGGATCATTCGAAAATCTTAACTCTACCTTAGTCGAGAGTCAAGGAATAGAATCTAGATCATCTAAGAGCCCCCTCAAAACATCGAAAATTGAAAGGGTAATATTTATTTAATCATTACATTAAGTGATTTAAAATCATTTATTATCACTGAATTAACATATTCTATTCATGAATCATACCGATATCTGGTTAAGCACACTATAACCATCTACCGACAAAATGTCCGTAAATTATTAAAAAATATAGGAAATATTCTTTAACATCTAATGTAGGGTAAAAATACTTACAAATTGAAATATTTTCATTTTTACTTTTTATTTCAAATAACGTATTTTAAATGGCATCGTGCAAATTTGTAAATGTTTTATTTTGCGTTTTTCACTTCCTTTTTTTTAAAAAAAAAACGTCACTTTATTTTAAACAAAGCTTTCTTTCGTTCTTTCTTATTTTATTCTGACATACAGCTTTTAAATATAAATAAAAAAAATTTATGTACACATTAATAAAATATATCGACAAATGTGGTTAAAGATTCAATCAAGCGTAGCTGCTATCGACGAACGCAGGAATGATTTGCTTCAAAGTCTTGGAATTATTGGTATATATTATTAAAATTCTTAGGAAGGGGGAGGGGGTTAGAAGGTAAGGGGCAATATAATTCTAGTTTAATTTTCACGATTCTTTAGGCAATTATGCGTTATCTCTTATAAAATTTCCGGAAATTTATATTTTTCACATTTAAAAAACGCTCTAATTTGAATACGCGTTTTTGTTAAAATTTGAAGATCTGATTTGCTGAAAAGGTATTCCAACAAGTATCATGCTATAATTTTCAGACAATTTGTTCACGAACTTTTTAGTTATTCTTAATTTTACATAGTAAAGTTACTCGGACTGACTTAAACATTATACATACATTAATAACATGTGCAAAAAAATCATCATTTTTTAAATATAGATACTGTGATTATCAATATACCCACCAGATTCAATCTCCAGCTTGACTCAATTTTTTTTTACTTATACAATTTTCTCGAGGAAGAAACTTAGGAAATAGGGTAGGGTTCGGTTTAAACAAATATGATTTAGGGCTGGATTATATTTTTTTTTTTAAATTCAAATTACATGATTGGTTTCTAATATCTATAACACCATTTAATTTTAGGGGTAGAGTGTTCATCCTCCAACGAATGCGGTAGCCCCAGTTATATTGGCCACATTGCCCTAGATCGAATGGCTTACAAGAAAGTCAGGTTCAGGTGGCAGAGGGGTATCAAAATTGGGCAAGGACAATCGGCTAAAGTTTATACTGCGGTCAACATGGAAAGTGGAGAACTCATGGCTATGAAAGAGATTAAACTTCACCCTAGCAATGATCAGAGGGTTTATAATTTTAAATATTTTTTTTATTCATTTTATTGCTTAAAAATAGGATCAATATTTAGTTTTCATTTTGTAAATCTATATTTTTCTTATTTCAGTTTATATTTTTAGCCGGCTAAAAATATAGTAATCACCCAACTATAATTGGTTGCATTATACAATTCTGTTTTAGATAATCAAAGAGGTGATAGAGGAGATAAAGCTTTTCGAAAATGTAAACCATCCCAACCTGGTCCGTTATTATGGGGTGGAGGTTCATCGCGAGGAACTACTCATATTCATGGAATACTGCAGCGCTGGCACCTTGGAAGAATTGGCCAGACAGCAACAGAAAGTGACCTTTTCTTCTCCGTTTAATGCTGTTATTGGGAATAGTAACGGACTCCACGAATGCACTAGATCAGGCCTCGACGAATTTTTCATCAGAAAATACACTAGGTATTTTTTTAAATAATAATTTCTTAGCAATACATTTATATGTTAATGCCAGAATATATTTTATAAGCAACATTTCGGTTCTCGAAAAAAGTTTTAATTTATTTTTAAAATGTTTATTTCATCGAAATTATAAATTAAGCTAGGAAACTATGATCTTATTCTTTAAAAAAAATCTTTACCGGCAAGACCGAAAATCATGTATTTTTTTGAATTAACCATATATCTTCATTTTATGTCTATTAAAATCTTCATTCATCCTAAATAATCTAAAATAACCTAAATATTATTGTTTCCTATAACAAGTGTGTATATATATATACTTTTACATGTGAACCTTATATAAATCATTATAATTACATAATTATATATATATATATCAAATTATTATGTAAGTTTAAAGCCATTCGCAAACAGGTTGATATTCAAGATATTTGCTATATATAATTATCGAAAGTCATCCTCGTTATTGTTGCCGAACACAGAGTTATAACTAAAAAAACTTTGTAAATTAGGGTTTTTTTGGCATTTTAAATAAATCGCAATCTGAAAAGTATCAACCTAACCCTAAAGGGTGTGAGATATATCCTAATATTAGTATATTTATTTATTACAAATTATTTTGTTATAATAAAATTGCGTGCAGAATACCTAATTTATATTTTAAACACTTCTCGTTCACAAATACCCCATTTTAAAAAGGAAACATAGTATTATTATAGGAAGATAAAAAGATTAATAGAAATATGAATAAAATGGGCAGTTTTTTAAAAAAGGTGTGCCCCTCTTCCATGTGGCCCTTCCTACTAGCAAAAATATTTAGAGTTACGACTCTGGCTGACCAACACAAACAGTTATTTGCGTGATTGTTTATTTTGATATTTTAATTTTAGTTATCGACTCCTAAAATCATCAACTAAATTTTTAAAATTTTGATAAACAATATTGGTATTGTTTTGTTCTTTTATCGAAATTTTAGCCAATCTGTAAAGAATTTTGTAAAGCCATGTGCATTGTTTTTAGACTTTTCTTCAAATATAACTAAACAAACTTGTTCTATTATAGAGCTTACTGTACCTAAGTAATGAAATTTCATTTTTTTTTAGTTTTACAATTTTCTTTCTTATAATTTCATCCTGACAATGCCATATAAGTCCATATCTGAATCCTACGGAAATATTTTCTTAGGATTTAAAATCATGGTGATGAAGAGTGAGATTTGGGATTTATAAAAATTGGGATTTGGTATTTCAAATTTGGGATTAATAAATTTCAAAATCGATTTTATAGCAAGGAAAGAAGAATAACCAAAAAGAATGCCAAATTATTAATGATTAATATAATTTTTTTATATCGTAATTGCAAATGAAATAATTTGATATACAAAATTTGCCGAAGAAAAGAAAAATGATTAATACAAATTTGAATATTACACAAAAAAAACAAAGAATTGAGGAAAATGACATGGAAAATAAATAAATTTTTTAAAAAGACAAGAAAGAATAATAATGAAAGAAAAAAATTACATAAAATTTAATGAGAATTGGAAAAAGCTAGAAAAATAAGAAATAAAATTATAAAGAAAAACGCCATTTACAGGATTAAATTATAAAAACAAAAAAAAAAATTTTTTTTTAAATACTCAAAAAAATAACCATTTTCCTTTTTTTGATTAAACTTTTTTTTTATCTTTTCTCATGGGACGTTTTATTATTTATTTTCCTTTTTTAATCTAACCAAGGTCACCTTTCTTTTCCTTTTTTTGACCTTTTTTTCAAATAGGAAATCCTATAATTGAATGAAGCTGATGACATTGATATTCCACAGTGGTTTGGTTCTCAAAATATACATATATTTTGTTTATATAAACGCTTGGAGATTTAATATATATTTCATATATGTTCTATATAAGATATAACAATACCATATATACATTTAATTATTTATTGAAATTTTAAAATTTACTTGATTGGTTAATAGAAATAATAAAATGCAAAAGGTCATAAAGTGATAAATTATTTATTCGCGAATTTCTTTGAATATCGCCCAATATGAGGCGAGCTTTCAAATTTTTTTTTTTTCACCCGTTTAACAATTAAAAATAATAATTAATAATTATTATGAGGGAACTACTTTTAGCCGTCAATCATTTGCACGATTTGGCCATAGTTCATAGAGATATCAAAGGCGCCAACGCATACCTGACGGACGCTTTCGTGGCGCAGTCTTCTAACTCCACTAGTTCTGAAAGTAGATTTTTATATTAAAGATTTTTTATGTATAAGGTGAAAATGGTTGGTCTTAAAAGGATTTTTTTTTAAAAAATAAAATCAAATGTTGGTAGATGATATATTTTAGATATTAATTTATGTTTAAAATGAAGATAAAAAAATAAAATTTTACTATATTTTTTAAAAAATATAAATTTGTCAATCGCAATCACGCAGCTACCAATTTTCCGTCCAAAAATATTATTTCTCCTTCACCTTCTTCGTTCAGTTCCCTCAAGTTAGGCGATTTTGGTAGCGCGGCAAAACTTAAAAGTTTTTTCACGGTCCCCGGAGAAATCAAAGGATTGGTAATTTATTATATATATTTATTTGTTCATTCTGCCAGTTAAAATTACTCACGTGAATTTTTGAGAAGCCCAAATCACGTGACTCACGCGAAATCCCTTCTCGCAGCGCGTAATAGCGCCTGTTTTTTTCAAAAAAAAAATCGCAAGTAACCTTACAAAACCTTAAATTTTTTTTTAAAATAAATTATTGCTACATACAATTTTATCATACAGGTTGGAACTCCGCCTTTTATGGCCCCCGAAGTTATAAATAGGTGTGAAGGTAATGGGAGGGCGGCAGATATATGGAGCCTTGGGTGCGTGGTTATACAAATGCTGACAGGTTAGCCAAACGTTAAATATTGTAAATATATAAGAAATAAATTTTGATTGTTATAAGTTATGAGTATAATTAAAATGTCGGACAATCCCCTTGGTCCCATTTTACCTCGTTATCTGTTGTAAACTTAATTAATTAATTTTTTCGCAGGCAAACCACCTTGGCATGAGCTGGAAAATATATTTCAGATAATGTACAAAGTGGGCTCGGGATTTAAGCCGCATATACCTTCTTTCGCCAGCGAAGAGCTAGTAAATTTTTTGGATCATTGTTTCGAAGTCGATTCCAAACTCAGATGGTCAGCTGCTAAACTTTTAGAACATCCTTTCCCTAAAGGGGGCAAATGATAATCAATATTTTGAATCTATTATTTATTCGCGTTTAGTTTTATTAACAAATTATTTTTGTATTTTTTTTTTGAAATGTATAGTCATTTTAAATTAACTAGCCACCAAACTCAATCTCATTTCGATAATTTCTTCCAAAATATAAATCATGCAATAATACCTTTTCTAGTCTTATTTATCTCAACTATATACTTAAACAATATGTAAATATTTATACTTTATCATAAATATCAAACTATATCATTTTATTTTACCCATTCTAAACAAATATAATATAAATTTATTTGTTTAATATTTATTATTATTATTATAAAATAAATTGTTTATAAGATTTTTCATTAGATCTTCTCTTGATACCTTTTTCAAAATTAGCTCATTTCTATGATGTCAAGAATTGCAGACATCCATTTTCATATTATATTCTCTAATCCTTAAAGAGCTTTGCCTGTTCTCAGATTTTAATCTCTAAGGTATGTATAATATCTAATATAAATTTGAAATTTAAAACGAACTAATTATAATTATCACTATAAAAGGCATGTATATATATTAAATATGGAGGGTATTTATGATTACAAAGATGCCAACAATTTAAATTACAGAAAACAATTTCCCTGATAAATATAAACAGGAAAGTATTTCCCTATAAAAATAAAGCACCAGAAAAAAATTCCGCGGAAAGATAAATCCCCGGGAAAAATAATATTCCCCACGAAAATAAAATCCTGGAATGGGAAAATCATTTTTTTTAATTATTTTTTTTTTTAAAAACATTTTGTAGTCTGGTTGGGTATATTTTATAACAATTAACTGTAGAAATCAAAATATTAGGGTTGGTTTAAATTTATTGGAGTATTTTAGCTTAAAAGGTAATTCAATCATTTATTTTTAAAGATTCTGGACACTTAAAAAAATATAGCTACCGGTAAATATATAATTATTATGTTTTAATTATAAGAAGTTGTAAGAAAATATTAATAGAATACATAAATTGACAGAGGCTTCTCTATATCACTTAATTTCCCGATAATGTGATACAATGTAATCAGTTACCTTATTACTCACAAATTTAAGTAAAACTCCAGCTAATAATAATGCACGCCATCAGTCACTATATAGCAAATTATCAGAGAGCGATCATATTTTATTAAACAATTTTAAATTAATTATTTAACCTTATCGTTGTTTTGTTAAACGGCTCGTTTTGAGCCGATTTTTAAAAACGGTTAAATCAATATTTCATCTAGAATAATATTACACAAACCAGAAGATTTTGTTTGTAGAAGGAAAAGGTTTGGACATCTATTAGCGAAATCTCGAGACTTAGGCCATATTTTATGGCTAAAATATTGAGTTAGCCGTTTTTAAAAATCGGCTCAAAACGAGCTGTTTAACAACACTACTCATATCTAGATGACCCATTTAATCATACAACTTCATCCAAGAAGTTGGCTCTAAAAAGATAAATAGATTTATTAAATAGTGTACTTTTGCAACATTAGCCATGATTTTTAAAAAAATTTAAGCCTGGCCCGGATAGTTGAAATTCTCCGATTTTTGACTAGTGCTAGGTTCCGGACCGACAGGTCATTGCTTTAAATAATTTTTCCCATTTTTAATATGTCACAGCTGCTAAAATGTTTTTCACACAAGAGACAGTTTTCATATAAATTTATGCATGAAAAATCAACCAATACGTTATTAAACCATTTATTGCCTTAGCAATTTTCATAATTATACCTTCACTGAAATCGTAATATTGCACGTTATTATATTTTTTTACTTTAATTCAAAAATAATAATTTTGGCTATTTTTTTTTACATTTTTTCTTCATTGAAATTGTAATTATAACCAGGGTTGGGCAAATTTTCAGAAAATTGTATTCGGATACAGATACTTTATAAAATTTTGTATTTAAGATACAAGATACTTTAGAAAAATTTCAATAAGATATAAGATACTTGTATTTTTTTAAAAAAAAGTATCTAAGATGCAAGATACTTTTTTAAAAAACTTTAAATAGTCAAAATCAAAATGTATAAAGCTTTATTTTCTTATTTATAATATAAATTTATAAAAAAATATTTAAAATAAATTGTAGAAAATAACAAATTTATTATAAAAGATAATGCAATATTCCATTTAATAATTATATAATTAGTAAATAATAATAAATCAACATCATAAATAAACATTATTTTTTAATATTATTAATTTTTCAGACGATTTGGTCTATTAACCATATTAGCAAAGCTAAATAATCTTTCAACGGGGGCTGAGGAGGGTAATATTGTGTTATTTTAATAAATATTTCTTTTATATATTTATAACTATTTAACATATTTATACTCCGTCTGTCATCTTTCATATAATTTAGGACCTCTATTTCAATATCATTTATTGAATTATTAGAATTGGATGTGGTACTTTTAAGGCATATTATTTTTAAAAACAATTAAAACTTCATGTAATAACAAATCCTGAAGGTATTTTTTTTTCTTTTTCACCATCAATCCAACGATTTTTAAAATAGGGATGAGAAATAGTTGCCAAAAATGCACTTTTAAAATTGTTATCAAAATCATATATATTTTTAAATCTTTTATTCTGATAATTTTCTATGGCAACAGCTAATGGTTTGCAAAATTGTAGATTGATTTGAATTAAATTTGTAATTTTTTTTAACGACATTTAAAATTGGAGCTGATTCTTCATAATAGCAGTTGATTTCACTCTGTATTTTGTCAATCGCTATAGCCAATGGGGCCATTATATTGCAATATTCTTCTAAATATTGAATTTCAATATCTCTTAATTTAGGAAATTCTAATTTTTGACATAATTTAGGAAGTTCGCCTTTAAATTTTAATAAACTATGAAGACTATCATACAAACTATTCCATCTAGTGCAACAAGGTGTAACTAATTGTTTTCCTAAAACTGCTTTGATAAGTTCTGCTTTAGGCCTATTATTTGTATTCCATAGCTCTGTACATTTAGCTATTGCAGGATGATGAATTTTAGAAATGTTAGGATAATAGCTCTCTCGACATCTGTTGTGGCAATTAGACTTATTGTATGGCACAAACAACGAATGCGTTGAGGCAATGTTATTGAAGCTTCTTTAGACCCTTAAATAAACAAATAAATAATTTTATTTGAATAAAATTTTTTACTTACTTTCAATGATTTCGAATTCTATACATTCATCATCATTGATGTCAAAGTCATTCTCTACAGATTCCTTAGAATATTCAAACTCCTTGAAAGCTTTCTTAAAGTTAGAAACGTTATCTGTAACAGTTGCTATAACTTTTTCGTCAATACCAAAGTCACGATGAATTTCTTTATTATGATCATCTTGAAGTAATTCAAAAAATTTGCCATTAAATATGCTTAGTTTTTAAATTTATTGTTATAATTTTCGATTGAAGAATCATCTGAAGACGAAGATAAACATATTATTCTATTTTCTTCTTCTATATTAAAATAGACAGATATAAAACGATTCAAATATGGTAGTTCTAATTGTTAGCAAATTGCTATATGACGACCAACGTCATATATCAAAAATTATCTTAAAATATCTAAATTTTGATTAAATTTTTCATTTAAATCTTAAAACAATGTCATTTAAAATTTTAATACTATTTAAATTAACCAATATAAATTTTTTTTAAAGTATCTGTATCTTTTTGAATACAAAGTTGGTTAAGATACAAATACTTTTAAATAATATGTATCTTAGATACTGGATACAAGATACTTTCCAAAATTTTAAAAAAGATACAAGATACAAATATCCGCGATACTGCCCAACCCTGAATATAACATAATATTTATATAAATATATTTTTAATTTTACCATTTGCTTCAAAAATATAAAAAAAATGGAAGGTAACTTATCAATCTTCACTGAGATAAAAATTTATAATAAATATTTTAGAATTAACAGTTTTTGAAGGTTTTTCTGATAGGGGGGGGTGTGTGTATTTTTAAGAATTATTATAACATTTTACTGGAAAATAATTTTCAATTGAAATTTTGTAAGCTCTTTTAATAAAAAAATTTCCCCCTTTTTAATTTTCTTTACTTAAACGTCACCGAGATCTCACCTTAATCTCAGAGGCTCTTCCTCTTATAATAATGCTAGTTTTTTTTGCAATGTTGCCCACAAATCTTGTTACCCAGGAAAACGAATTAAGGCTATCACCGGCGAATCATATTGAAATTAATTTTCGGTGGAATTTTTTCCAGTAAATTATTTTCTTGAGATTAATTTCGATTAGATTTTCCGCGTGGAATATTTTTTGTTTCAAGGAATTTTTAACCTAAAGAATTGTTTCGGGAATTCTTTTTTCAAAGGGAATTATTTTCTTACCAATGTAAATTTATATATTCACTTCTGCTTCATCATAAATACCCACTCCCATTATGTAAAGTATCAGTGTTTCAAAATTTTAAAAATAAAGTCGCCATAGACTAAATCACCGTTTATTTTAAAATAAATTAGCATAAAAATACTTCTATTTTTATACAAAATATATGCATTGCTTTATTTTAAATGTTAGCTATATTTTGCCAGACTTTCATATCATTATAAACGTTTAAAGTCTATGCTCATACAAAATTAATTTTAAAGTAAAATACTTTAAACATAATTTATGTTATTTATGTCTACATATAAATAAAATATAAAGATTTTTGTTTTTATTTATTTTATTGCATCATATGGGAAGTATATCTCAGTTCTTCTATCCATTTTATTGAAAACCACGATTTTTTATTTTTAAATTTCTTATGGTGTTGGATATTGATCTTTTAAGGGTTGATAAAGGTGGAGACCCTGATCTTATAAAAGAAAACCAAAGAAGAAGATTTAAAGATCCAAAATTAATAGATATTATTTTAGAAAATGATGAGAATTGGAGAAAATGTACTTTACAATTTTATATACTATTTTTAATAAATTTATAAGTACGTTTTAATCTGGATAATTTGAACAAAATAAAGAATCTATGTAGCAAAGAGGTTGGCGAGCGAATGAAAGTTTGAGCTTCACTTTTTATATGTATAAATTTATTTAATAGATTAAGACAATTCATGCAGATCAAAATGGTGAAGGTGATAGGAATTTACCGAAGAGTATAATAGAAGGACTAGAAAATTTATCGATTCAGGAGTTAAAGGTTCTAGAAATTGATTATTAATATATTAACTTGTTATAGCCATTAAGTATTCAGCAAATTAAAAATATTAAGCCCTTAATTGAAGAAAAAATTAATCAGTGCAATAAACTTAGAAGTGATTGCGAAAATTCTAGAAATGAAGCATTATCTGAGTTGGGAAATTTATTGCATGTATCTGTACCAATAAGCAATAATGAAGTAATTTTCTTGTTTATTATATATATAAGTATATTATTGAATATGTAAATTTAGGATGAAAATAAAGTTTTAAAACTTTGGGGTGATACTAATATAGAAAAAACATATTCACATGTTGACTTAATTCAAATGATAGATGGATTTGATGGCGATAGAGGATCAGTTATATCTGGGAGTAGAGGCTATTTTTTAAAGGTTATAATTCTTTATATTCCATTACTAACTTATAATAAAAAATTTTTTAATTGTAATGTAAATAATAATTATATAAGAGTATAATTCTAGTGTAATATACCATTTTTGGGATTTTGATACATTTAAATAAATATACAAAAAAATTATTTGGTCATAATAATTCACATGTATTTACTTTTATTTATTTTTAAGTTACTTTTTTTATTTTACAATTTAAAAAAATCAGTTCTTTTATTAGATATATAAAATAATCTTTTAATTTTAATAATCTTTTTCTATGCTAAAAGGTACCATATTTATAAATATATTATACCATATTTATAAATATATTATACCATATTTATAAATATATTATTTTATTTCATCAATCTCAAAAAAAAAATTTATAGGGGCCAGCTGTGTTTTTGGAACAAGCTTTAATTAGATTGGCATTTGATATTCTGCACGATAATGGTTACACTCCTTTATCAACTCCTTTTTTCATGAAAAAAGAAATTATGAAAGAGGTTGCTCAATTGAGTCAATTTGATGATGAACTCTATAAAGTATATGATAAATTTATAATTATGTCATACATATTGTCATTAGATATCCAAGGTTACTATTATGATTTAATTAGTGTTATGTTGTGACAAACTATTTAATAATTACTTATAAATAAGACCTAAATCAACATTTTTTTATCAATCCTCACCAATACTTTGTGTGGGCATGGGTGGGTTTTCTAAAATATCTTCAAATTTTGGCAGGTATCTGGCAGGCTTAAATTTTATTTTTAAATGACTGGCAGATGGTGGGTAAATTTCTTTTAATTTTCATGCAAGAGCAGAACTGCCTTCAATTTTATAAAAATAATTGTTTTATTTTATAATATTGCATAATATATATGCCTAATTAAAAATACATTAAAATTATGGCTCTGCCGATTAGAGGTCTGCATGGGTGAGTGGGTTAAAAAATTTAAAGAACAGGTATGTTGGTTAAAAAATTTACAACTTTTATTTGTTATTTAAAATCATTTAAGTAAACATTAAAAAAATATGTTCCCTGAAATTTCGACATTTTTAATATCATAGTAACTGATAGCTGGGGATGGTTAGTTGTCAGTAGTGTTGTTAATCGACTAAATTTAGTCGACTAACAGAGGACTAACTAATAGTTTTAGTCGAACAATTCGACTAAAAACTTTTGACTAATTTAGTCGACTAAAATAACTAATTAGTCGACTAAAAACGACTAATAAGTCGACTAAAACGACTAATTAGTCGACTAAAAACGACTAATAAGTCGACTAAAACGACTAATTCATTAAAATAACTATATGAGTGATATATAAGTTATTTTTAATATATTTTTTTTTTGAATTTCTTTTTCTTTGAAGGAACAGGTTAAAATTTCAAATTGTTATTTTTGAACTTTTTTAAAATTATTTTAAAGCAAGGTATAAATATATATTGTAAACATGTTATATTAAAATTTCAGTGAAGATGTACCATAGAAAAGTGACAATTGTCATAATCGTCATTTATAGGTTTTTTTGAAATTTTTTGAAGCAAATGGGTAAAAATATATATTTAAAGTGTTAAAATAAAATTTAAGCGAAGATGTACCATAGAAAAGTGACAATTGTCATAATTGTCATTTATAGGTTTTTTTGAAATTTTTTTAAGCAAATAGGTAAAAATATATACTGTAAATATGTTAAAATAAAATTTAAGCGAAGATGTACCATAGAAAAGTGACAATTGTCATAATCGTCATTTTTAAGTTTTGTTGAAATTTTTGAAGCAAATGGGTAAAAATATATATTGTAAACATGTTATATTAAAATTTCAGTGAAGATATACCATAGATAAGTGACAATTCTCATAATCGTCATTTTAAGTTTTTTTGAAATTTTTTGAAGCAAATGGGTAAAAATATATATTGTAAACATGTTACATTAAAATTTCAGTGAAGATATACCATAGATAAGTGACAATTCTCATAATAATTTTTTTTTAACTTTTTTGAAGTAACAGAGTAAAATAAATTGTAAACATGTTAATTTAAAATTTAAATAGTATATACTACCAATGTGCAAAATTTAAAAAAAAATGAAGAGGGTAGGGTTGAAAATTGACTTTTTTGTCGATTTGATATGGAATTCACCATATATTTTTACCCATTTGCTTCAAAAAATTTCAAAAAAACCTATAAATGACGATTATGACAATTGTCTCTTTTCTATGGTACATCTTCATGTTTACAATATATATTTTTACCCATTTGCTTCAAAATATTTCAAAAAAACTTAAAAATGACGATTATGACAATTGTCACTTTTCTATGGTACATCTTCACTGAAATTTAAATATAACATTTTTACAATATATTTTTACCCATTTGCTTCAAAAAATTTCAAAAAAACCTATAAATGACGTTTATGACAATTGTCACTTTTCTATGGTACATCTTCGCTTAAATTTTATTTTAACATGTTTACAATATATATTTTTACCTATTTGCTTCAAAAAATTTCAAAAAAACATAAAAATGACGATTATGACAATTGTCACTTTTCTATGGTACATCTTCACTGAAATTTAAATATAACATGTTTACAATATATATTTTTACCCATATGCTTCAAAAAATTTCAAAAAAACTTAAAAATGACGATTATGACAATTGTCACTTTTCTATGGTACATCTTCACTGAAATTTTGATTCAACATGTTTACAATATATATTTATACCTTGCTTTAAAATAATTTAAAAAAAGTTCAAAAATAACAATTTATAATTTTAACCTGTTCCTTCAAAGAAAAATAAATTCAAAAAATATTAAAAATAACTTATATATAACTCATATAGTTATTTTAATGACAATTCTCACTTTACTTCTTTTTGTTTATCTTCTCTGATTAGTCGACTAAATTAGTCGTTTTAGTCGACTAAATAAGTCGTTTTTATTCGACTAAATTAGTCGCTTTTAGTCGACTAAATTAGTCGCTTTTAGTCGACTAAATTAGTCGCTTTTAGTCGACTAAATTAGTCGCTTTTAGTCGACTAATTAGTCGTTTTAGTCGACTAATTAGTCGTTTTAGTCGACTAATTAGTCGTTTTAGTCGACTAAATTAGTCTTTTTTAGTCGACTAATTAGTTGTTTTAGTCGACTAATCGACTAATTTAGTCGCTAAAGTTTTTAGTCGATTTCCTCGACTACGACTATTAGTCTTAGTCGGAAGAAATCAACTAATTAACAACACTGGGATTTTTTTATTAAATAGAAAATAATGATATTTATAATATTGATTCAATAAATGGTAAATTAAATCAATATAAATATCGGAATCGGATCGGTGAAAAATTTTTAGATCGGCACAGCCCTGATTAAAATAAATAAATAAAGAGCTTAACCAACCATTAAAATTATTTTTTAAACATTTGGCGGGTGAGCGATTTAAAAAAATTTCAAAATAACTAGTGGGCGGGCGGGCTTTTTGGCTATGAAACCCGTCCATTCCAGACCTCTAATCGAATTTATACAAATAATAATACAATGACGATATTTATAAAATTGGTTTTTTTAGAATCTCTGATCAATTGACTATCTTTTTTTATAACTACCTCCTATTCATTATCTACTTTAATTATCTTCATTTATTTTTGTCAATCAAAGGTAATAGGCAAAGAAACCTTTACAACTGATAGCCTACATAACCCCGATTCATCAAATAACCCCGACGAAGACACCAAATATTTGATAGCCACTTCAGAACAACCCATAGCAGCATTCCACAGAGATGAATGGATAAATGCCGGAGATTTGCCACTCAGATACGCCGGAATTTCTAGCTGTTTTAGACAGGAGGCGGGATCTCATGGCAGAGATACCAGGGGAATCTTCAGAGTTCACCAGTTTCAAAAAGTAATCGCCTTATATTTTTTTGAGATTTTTTTTCTGTAAAGTTCATTCCCAACTTTTTATCTGGGAATGGTAAACAAGCTGGGTTTTGATTTAATTCTAGCAATTATAGTGGGGTAATTACTATATTTTTTTAGCCAATTTTTAACCTACGAAACCATGTTTTTAGCCTAAAACTATCACTTTGGTTTCGGGGGTTTTTCTTAAAAAGGTAGTAGCTCAAATTTGGAAGTAAGAAATATAAATTGAAACGCCTCAATTTTAACGGATTTTCTCCGGCAGGCGCCTGAAGATTGAGCCAAATTAGCCGATATTTAGCCATTACGCAACTATACACAACTGTTGGTTTATTGTAATGCTTTGCTCGACTATTTAATTTATTATTTATCAGGGCCCAGGAACAAAAGCATTTTTGCACTCCTATTCTATTCTCGTTTTGGTCAAAAAATTATTTCCCATTCTCTTCTGTTGTCCTGGAACGCCTTCCTAAAATATTTTATTAACCCTTTCGCGCCCAGCGAGATCATTTGTCTTCAAAATTTTTAATCAATTAATTTATATATTTAAAAAAACTAATGGTTGCTACTTAGACACATGAATTTACAAAACAATATTTATTATTTCGTATTTTATCATTAACCTGTCAAAATCATTATTTTATTATATCAAAATACAAGTTCAAAGTTAGGTATTTTATGCGCCTAAATTTTTACACTTTTACATCGATAACCATTCTATATAAATCAAAGGTATATAATGTTTTTATAATAGATTATTACTAGTATTTCACATCAAAAAAATTAACAATAACTATTATTTATATGATTTTTTGAAGGTAATCCAAATTGGTAACATTGGGATTTTATAATGTAATTTTTTTCATAAATTTTTTAAAATTAGATATTGGAAATATGATATAGTAAGAATTGAATATAGGTTATTTTCCATTTATAAAGCCACTATAATATTTGCAAAAAGTTAAGAAAGTGGAAATTTTTTTTAAATTTTTATAAATAATTTTTAGATGACCTCAATATATATTATACCAGAGGGAAATAAATTTAAACAATATATTAGCTCAAAACCACATAAATGGGGAATTAAAATTTTCGCTTTATGTGGATCATCTGGAATGCTATATGATTTCGAAATATATTTAGGAAAATCCACAAATATAAAAAAAACTTTGATGGGAATTAGCGAAGATATTGTTATACGACTATTAGAAACTGTTCCCCCACAAAAAATCATAAAATTTACATGGATACTTTTTTTCTTCATATAATTTAGCAGCTGCGCTCAAAGATAATGGGTTTATCATGTCGAGGACCCTACCCTTTCGCGCCCGACATATTTCCCGTGAACAAAAATTTTTTTTTCTCTAAAACTGAGTTAAATAAGACGCAAATAACACATTTTCAACGTTTTTTATTTTAAAAAGTGTATATATATATAGAATTATAAAATGTTACCAATTGTCATCATTGGGATATTCATATGTAAAAATATATAATTTATTTTGAATGATAAGAAATAAAACAATTGCGATTTTATTTAAATCATAAAGATATTTTACATTTTAAACATTCAAATCTGGTATAACCATTTTTGCAATTCTTGCATCTTTGTTAGCCGCCGAGGGCCAATGCCCTATTTTATCGAATCTAATATCTGGGATTGGATGAAAACTATTCAATTTCTTTTCTTTTTTTTCAATCTTCAAATTATGTTTACCTTCTTTTCCATAATTTTCCTTTCCAACCATCATTAATCCTTTAGTTATCCGAGCTTTAAACGCTAAAAGAGATATATATTTATCATCTTTCTGTTTGATGTAGCGTCTATAAGAGTAACCACGAATTAACCACACAGAAATCTAATAAATGAAAGAAAATTCGCATGTAAAAGCGCTTCTATTTTATGTCAATTCTGTATAATTCAATTAACATATCATGGAGATCCACTCCGCCCATACCAGCATTATAATCTTGAATTATAGCCGGAATTTCGACATTAATAAAAGATTTTTCAGATACCGACCATCTTTTCGTTCGTGGTGTGGGATTTATACCCATAAATGATGATATCGTGATAACCGATTTGTCATTTGCAAATTATAATATTATTATTAGAATCCACTTTATAATCAAGGGACCCTCTTCCTTTTTTCTTTAAGATTTTATCATCAACCAGATGGCATCCTAATAATCGATTAGATCTAATGATCCCCGACATGATAAAGCCATTATCTTTGAGCGCAACTGCTAACTTATATGAAGAAAAAAAATTATCCATGTAAATTTTATGATTTTTATGTGGGGGAACAGTTTCTAATAGTCGTATAACAATATCTCCGCTAATTCCCATCAAAATTTTTTTATATTTGTGCATTTTCCTAAATATATTTCGAAATCATATAGCATTCCAGATGATCCACCTAAAGCGAAAATTTTAATTCCCCATTTATGCGGTTTTGAGCTAATATATTGTTTAAATTCACATCGCCCTTTGAAGAGGACTATCATTTCATCAATTGATAATTTTTCCTCTAATTGAATATTTCTCATGTTCATTTTTAATGCACTAATAAATGGTTTTAGTTTGAAAAGTTTATCGTAATTAGGCTGGCCCCTAAGTATTATATTATTATTATCATTAATATGAAAGTATTTTCTCAATTTTAAGAATCTGTTTCTTGTCATGCATTGAGAAATTTGAGGAATCACTGTCTTTATAGCCCAATATTGCCTTATTGATGGCAATTTAACAATGTCCGTATAAAGATGAATTCCGAGAAATTTTTCAATTTCACTACTATTTGTATTTGTTGATTTGCCAGATAATTGAAAAGAATAAATATTCGTTTGCTCTACTAAATTGTTAATAATATCATCGTCTATAAATTTTTTAAAATATTTGTAAGGCGAAATTTCCTTATCAGTTGGAGGCAAAAATTCTTGTTTAAATTCTGTATTATATTTATATAAATCCTTATTTCGCCATAGGATTTTCCTATTACTTGAGATAATATCATTATTTTTCCAGTTCCAACCCAATATCTGATAAAATATCATAGGTCATATTTAGATCAACTATTGTGGCATTTTCAAAGTCATCATCCTTCTCAATATCTACATCAGATATATCTCCCTCTGGTATAATACATGTTCAGGTCATCTAAAAATTATTTATAAAATTTTTTTAAAAATATAAAATAAAATTTTCACTTTCTTAACTTTTCGCAAATATTATAGTGGCTTGCTAAATGGAAAATAGCCTATATTCAATTCTTACTATATCATATTTTCATATTTAATTTTAAAAAATTTATGGAAAAAATTACATAAGAAAATCCCAATGTTACCAATTTGGATTTTCTTTAAAAAATCATATAAAAAATAGTTATTGTTAATTTTTTTTTTACTAAACATGTAATACTAGTAATAATCTATCATAAAAATATTATTTACCTTTGATTTATATATATTTATATAGAATGGTAATCGATGTAAAAGTGTAAAAATTTTGGCGCCTAAAATATCTAACTTTGAACTTATATTCTGATATAATAAAATAATGATTTTGACAGGTTAATGATAAAATATGAAAGAATAAATATTGTTTTGTAATTAATGTGTCTAAATAGCAACCATTCGTTTTTTAAATATAAAAATTAATTGATTAAAAATTTTGATGACAAATGATCTCGCTGGGCGCTAAAGGGTTAATCTAATCGATTATCGAAATGCCATCTGGTTGATGATAAAATCTTTAAGGAAAAAGGAAGAGGGTCCCATGATTATAAAGTGGATTCTAATAATATTATAATTTGCAAATGGATAAAGTGGATTCTAATAATATTATAATTTGCAAATGGTTTGATAACAAATTGGTTATCACCATATCATCATTTATGGGTATACATCCCATATCACAAACGAGAAGATGGCCAGTGTCTGATAAATCTTTTATCAATGTCGAAATTTCGGCCATAATTCAAGACTATAACGGTGGTATGGATCTCCATGATATGTTAATTGAACTCTACAGAACTGACATAAAATGGAAGCATTTTTACATGCGAGTTTTCTTTCATTTATTAGATTCCTGTGTAGTGAATTCATGGTTGCTCTATAGAAGCCACATGAAACAGAAAAATAGTAAACATGTATCCCTTTTAGTATTTAAATTCAGATTGCTAAAGGAATGATGATGTTTGGAAAGGAAAATGATGGAAAAGAAGGTAGACCTACGTTGAAGATTGAGAAAAAAGAGGAAGTTGAATAGTTTTCATCCAATCCCAGATATCAGATTATATAAAACAGGGCATTGGCCATCAGCGGCTGGTAGACACAGATGCAAGTACTGCAAAAATGGTTATTCAAGATATGAATGTATAAAATGTAAAATATCTTTTATGTTTAAATAAAAATCGCAATTGTTTTATTTCTATTCAAAATAAATTGTATATTTTTTTTACATATGAATATCCCAATGATGACAATTGGTAACATTTCATAGTTCTATATATATACATTTTTAAATAAAAAACGTTGAAATTATGTTATTTGTGTCTTGTTTAACACAGTTTTAGAAGAAAAAAAATTTGGGGGAAATATTTCGGGCGCGAAAGGGTTAATTACACAAAATTTTTAATCGATCTTTATAATATAGATCTGTTAAATCTAAGTATTGATTAGGAAATTTCTTAAAAGATATGCAAACGAACGCGTTCGTGGTGAGCGGGTTCGTTTTTCGAGAAAAAAAAATAATGAACAGCAATCCTTTTATTTTTGACGAAGTTTGAACGTGAGCGCGTTCCTTTTTTTTTGACGAACGAGTTCGTATTTTACGTTCGTTAAAACATTAACCTGATTTTTTTTTAATCAGTTGTTTCCTTTATCACGTTTGAATCTTTTTTTAACACGCCACTATTTCTGTCCTATAGTATAGACTATAGAGTTTATTATTTTAATTTTATAGATTAGCATAAGCGCGGAAGTTGTTATTTCGTCATCATCTGATTTCTAAATTACTGTGACTTAAATATAATTACTCTACAGTAACATATTATATTGAAGAAACTAATTTTATCCACCAAATGTGTTCAAAAAGTATAATATCACTTTCTAAATCTTCCAAACGATAAATATTTTTAATAAATTCCCCACACCAAAAGGGTTATTTATAAAAAATGTTTTTTTTATATTTACTATATTATATGTATAAATAAACTTATTTTTTTTTAACATGGCTAATATATTGTGATAAAAAATATTAGACTTTTAATATTAAATTAAGTATTAAATGCTTTAAAAAAAATTAGTATACCTCTCAACATTAATTTTGTAACAAAATTACCTTGAAATTTAAAACTTTTTATATTATATTATATTTTATAATTTTATTAAAAACAGTTAAAATTATATTTAAAAAAAAATGTTTTTATAATATTAAATGTTGGTACGTGAAGCAAACTAGAATTTAAGAAAAATGTAATAAAATTAAAATTATAATTTTTAATTGTTTTTAAAAAAACGTTCCGATAGCGTTCCAAATTATTTTATTTATCAAGTTCCATTCCTGGAATATGTCCAAAACGTTCTGTTCCTTGTCCCTGACATTTAACAACCTGATATTGAATATGATTTTGGAGTGAATATTGTTGATTTTTGATCACATATTTTATCCCGGGGGATCAGAATCCGACAGACATTTTTTTAGTTGGATTCTGACCTTTCATCTTTGTTAAATAATTTGAAATATACGTTTTTTAAAAAAAAATATACTAATCTTTACAAAAATTCACGTAATTAATATTCATTATTTTTTTTAAAATAATATATTTAAAGGTAGAACAATTTTGCATAACTTCGCCCTTCGACGATCTTTCTTGGAAAATGTTTGAAGAGATGCTCGGCAACTCCGAACTATTCTGCCAGGTTCTAAAATTACCCTACAGACTCGTGGCTATCGTTTCTGGTATATAAATTTTTTCATTTTTTTAAGCAATTCATTTCAAATTGATATTTATTATGAAAATCTTTGAATTTTATTTTAGGCGCCCTAAATAACGCAGCTAGTAAGAAGATTGATTTAGAATCCTGGTTCCCTGGCAGTAAAGCGTTTAGGGAATTGGTATCTTGTTCTAATTGCTTGGATTATCAATCCCGTCGTCTGAGAATTCGGTACGGACAAACTAAGAAAATGGACGGAACCGTAAAAATATTTTTATTTCTTTGATAAGAACGTCGTTTTCTGACTCACCTGATTCGATATTGCGCTTACTATTAGTTTTGTAAAATTGGATTCATTCGAAACCGAACCCAAAAACGACAAAACCAAGTTTTTAATCTATATCGCATCTTAGTCCTTTGAGAAAAGCTAAAAAAAACTTCAACTCGTGTCTTATAACTTAGTAAATGTGGTATCACCTTAAAATTAATTCAATTTAGTTCAACTACTTATGAGTTAAGTGATGAGATGACACACCCCGTTGGGGCTGTCATCAGGCCCATTGTTGCCATACATGTAGCATGTAGTAAATCATTTAATAATTTTTTACAATTTAAACAGGAATATAATATTTAGAGGATAAAAAAAACGTCAAAATTATTATTATTAAAATATCGGTGGTTGTGCTAGATTTCTCATGCCAATCAACGCGATAATAAAATAATTTTTTTTAAAATAAGTATCACTATTCTTTACATGACGGACGTTGAATATACGCAACGCAACTTATTATTTTTTTATCATATCTCAAAGAATTTATAATTGTATTTCCCAAAATTTCGTTACAAGATATTATATTTTCTTATAAAATTTAAAGCCTCCATATTATTTAGTTCTTGAGACATAACTATTTAAAATTTTTTAAATAAAAAAAGATCATCACATAACAATAGATTTTATTGTTTTTAAAGGTATAAATAAAATTTTTTAAAATAATTAAAGAAATTCAAAAATATCAATTGATTTTTTTTTCAACTCATCAACTATTTTCTTCGGAACTCAATGATGGTTTAGATAGGGATAAATGGTAGTGTGTAGAAATTGACCCCCCCCCCCTTCCAAATTGTTTTTGAACTCCTACCTATTATACCCCGTCACGGGGTTAGTTGGAATTATAATTTAATTTTGTTTGTGATCGTCATATTTTGAGTTAAATTTGAACTCAAAAAAAACAAAAGGTGGATTACGTTCACATGCTAAACGCTACCATGTGCGCGACGACGCGTACCATATGCGCAATTTTGGAAAATTATCAAACCGAAACCGCTATTTTGATTCCGAGTGCCTTGAGGAATTACATGCCAACAAGTTATATTATATTTAAAATATTTGAAGAAATGATATAAGAATTTAATTTTAGACAGGGTGGTTTATAAAGAATTTGTTTGTTGATTCCAGAGTTGTTAAAAGATACTTTTTAAATGGATCTAGATACAGATACAACGTCTAAAATAATATCTAGATACAGATTATTTAATCAAAAATCTATCTAGATACAGATACCACATTTTTATATTTAGATACAAGTATCTAGATCCTTTAACAACTCTGGTTGATTCACCCGTTTATAGAGGCTAAGCTAAATCGCAGAGCGAATAAATTTAATAATTATTTTAGTTTCTTGCGTTCAGAATATAAAAATATATCCTATTTTTATCCTATATTTTACGATTTGCGTAAAATTAAAAATCTTAAAAGATCGAGATATCTGTAGATCACAAAATTTGAAGATAAAATTTCATCTTCACTAAAATCTTAATATAACATATTTTTTCACCCATTTGCTTCAAAAAAGTTTAAAAATAATAATTATGACAATGTCGCTTTCCTATGGTTTATCTTTTCTGAAATTTTAATTTGGCATGTTTACTATTTATATTTTAATTCTAACCCATTTTACTTCAAAGAAATTATAAAATAATTTTTAAATAAAATTTAAAACGATGATTAAAATTATCCTGTAAGATTAAGATCCCACTTAAAAAATTATTTTTTAATATAATAATAAAAAAGATCTTAATAAATGATTTGATCAAAGAAGATTTATTATAAAAAAATCACTAAAGATCCAAAGCATTTTATAATCATTGCCCGATTATTTTTAAAATAAATTTTGTTCAAAGATAGTATTCCAAAGATTTTGTTGTTAAACTCAGCTTGTGTATATATATAAGTTATATCATCTTTTATCATTCAATTAAATTTGTTAAGAATACAAAGATTCTATTCCATTCGTTAAACCAGCTCCAATCGATGTGATCGAAAACAAATCCAACAAAAAGGACCCAAAAATGAAAAATTGAATAAATTTCTAATTTTGCTTATGTATTAAATAGGACTAAATCATTTATCCTTCTTAAATATTCCGGGAAATCTGATTAAATTTAAACACATAAATAAGCATTGCTATTTTTTTATATCAAATCCTGTTATAAATTCTGAAAAGAATTTAGAAAAATATTATTGAGTATTAATAATTGAAATGGTATGATTATTTTTAAACGCTTTATTCATTGAAATCTTATTTTTAATAATTATAATCTTATAATTATCCTCAATAAAAATGATTTTTAATTGGATATACAATTTATTTTGTTTGATTCCTGCTTAGAATTTTAAGCCTAAATATTAAAGGCAAATGAGTATAAAAATATTTTGGGTTTTAACGACTCAAAAAAAACAATCAATTTGAGAATTTTTCGTAGACGTTTAATTCTTTAATCGATGGCGTATGGTTCGATATCAACCCCTCGACGCTGCTCAATTTATTGAGGCAATGGTTAGACGTGCTTTTGATATTGGAAGGAGGCTTCTGCTTGCTAGCTTTACAGTTGAAAGCGAATTTAAGTTGATTTATAAACTCTCGACATAAGGATCCCTTCAAATTAATAATAAATTTAAAAAATCTAATATATAGATATATATTTAAGGCCCTTTTCATATTATACTAATTTTGTTCATTTATATTATACACTCTGTCATATTGGGATATAGAATCCCACGAGGGTTTGGAATCTCTTAATTTTAAGTAAATTTATAGTGGGGCGAATTTTAATGAAACATTCTGATTTGACCAGAAATGTATTCTAGATTTAGCATAGAATAGAGTAAGAACATATAATATAATTTGATCATGAACTTGTATATTTTTTATAATTTGTATTGGTTACTGTTCAAAATTTCAAAACCAGATTGCTTGAAATTCTCAATGTAGGTACTCTTATATACACGCAGGAATAATATATTTTCTTTCTAAATTCAATAATCGCTTAATGTAAATGATTATTTGATAAATTTAGGATTCCAATAGAATCACTTTATTGATTAAAAATGTTATGATCAAAATAATTAACATAGATTTACCCTGTCTTGTTCAGCCTTCTGTATTGTTTTCCAAACGAATTCGAATGTTACAGTGATCAACGATATGATTAAACCGACCACCAACAAGAGAAAGATTCCACCTACGTTTTTCATTGTTAATTCGTTGGCCACGTCTTTCTTTTCTTCTTTTGGACACTTTTTTTCTACCTTTTCTTTCCACCAATAATCTTTGAGTTTGTGCAAAACGCCTTCTTCCTGCAATTTCAATATCGCGTTGGACACTGGATCTCTATAAGGTGAATCTTTAAAAACATATTTGATTCAGGAATTACATTTCGATCGTCAGTTATGTCTAATAAAAGGATTTTTTTTATTGTCTTGAAAGTTATATATATCTAAATAAATAAGAGGCTTCAAGTGTCTTTATAGGAAAATTTTAAATTTCTGACTTCGAGGGGTAGCTATCCCATATCCTTTAGAATCTAATAGGCCCCCGACTTGCTGCAAATCGCATTCTCTTTGGACCGTATACTCGAGGGACGTAGATTCCATCAAGTAGGCGTATTTAGGACTGGCCCGTTTGACTAAATTAATTCCTTGCTTTGAAGAGTTGACAAACACTGTGGGCTGAGCGGATTCCATGGAAGCCCACATTCTTTCATAAGTCGTAATTTTTGATTCCTGAATTTTCGCGAATAGTTTAAAAATTATGCATCTCCTCGTATAAATATTTAAAATGTCGTTTTACCCGGAAAAAAGCCATGGTGGAGCCTCCGTATACACTGCCGTACCTGATTTCTATCTGTTTGGAAAGGTCATCGGCATTTTCTATGGGAGTTATCATACGTTCGACCGTTAAAAAGGCGGCCAGGTTAGCTGTGTAGGATGATATCATTATCAATGCGAAAAACCACCACGTGCCACTTAGAATCCGGGTTGAATTGGCTCTTGGCATCGTTTCGCAACCTTGTTGCATGAGAGAACCTATGGTAAACCAAAAACTGTTCATTATCGTAAACTCATTAACCACCACTCCAGGATCCTTGTGTAAGATATTAAAATATACGTAGTGGATTTCAAAGGCATTATATGAAAACTTAGCTAACATACAAAATAATTCTATCCATATCCGACTCACATAAATTTAAATAATACTTATATCGAAAAGGTAATGACAAAAATAATTATATAAGCATAAATCGTATACCCTTTGGCAAGAAGTAGGTTTAGCCCATTCGTAAGGTGAAAATCTCGCCAAAACGAATAACATGAAAGAAACAACGATGTAAGTAGCTAGCATGTATATCCAAACTTCGAATGAAAGAGGAGTTAAAAAGGAAAAGAAATCTGGGGCATTGGCCACTGGTTTCTTATACAATATACTTATTCCTAATTAAAGATAGATGAATAATTTCAATATATATATATATATATAAAATAGAGAGTGAATGAGATGCAATATTTGGCTCATTTGCAAGCTATTATCGTATCGAGATAAAAAAATATATTTTTTTAAAAAAAAACAAGTAAGATCCTGCCAACTAGACATTATTTTTTAATGTTAAAATATGATATGCACATACCTAGATTCATAAAGGGTTTCGTAAAATCTATTACTTCTTCTCTTTGATGTGATATGGTTAGGCCGGACACGGCTAAATCCGCTTTCTATTTTGAAAAACAAAAATTGGGTTTAGTTTTTATCATTTATAATAATATTATTTAATTGAAAGTTAGAGCCCTTGCAAAATAGATTTTTTTTTACCCTAGTCCTGTCCAAAATTTCTATTCATTTTAGGTTCGAACCCAGTCTAAAATTTTTGAGTTAGAATAAGTTATTAAATTATCAATAAATGGCGGCGTTAGAGCATTGTCAGTTTTGCTCTATTTTCGTTATTTTTGTAAAGTGTACTTGAAACAAGTTATCAAAATATATTTGGTTTTTTTTTATTCATATAATGATTTATATAAAATACGATGAGAAGGCCTAAAAACCTATGTAGGAAAGAAGGTTAAGAGTTTGGAAGTGATCGGCAAACGAAAGAGAGGAAGACCAAAATTCTGATGGGCCCACAAAATTAAAGATCACTAAATGTAAATTGAATAAAATGGATTGTATGAATAATATAAAATGGAAAGAGCTTACCACCCGAAAAGGTGAAAGCTACAAGGAAATGCAAATTATAACCATTTTAATCAAAAAAAATCACAATCTGTTTAATTTATCTACTTGCAATTTTGAATTTTATCAGGTAAATTGTTTTTAGAAATTATTTGAAAAAAATTTATGCTAAACATTAGGATGTAGAATTAGAAATTTCCTTAATTTTTTTTAAAACTCTAAATTGATCCACAAGTTTTTCCTATATTTGAATCTAAACAATCGTTTTTCCCAGTTTATACAAATATTTAGGTGGAACATTCCAATTCTGAACCGACAAATTACTTTGCTCTAACCCCCAAAAAGGTTTTGTCTTCATTTTATTTTATAATGCAAATACACCTTCTATTTTTATATTTTTGGTCAAAAACAGACTTCGAGCCGGGATTCAGGCTCACTTGCAGGAGATTATAACGAATGCAACTTCGTAGAAGAAGCAAAAACCTCGTAAAATGCATTTTATATTTATAGATTTACTAAATTTATTAATTCTCCTATTATTCCGCTCCATTTTTCTGTGAGTTTATCTTTCACACCGTAGGTATTGTCTTCAACTAACCTGATCGTAAAATTGAATTTCAAAACTTTGGCTATTTCATTGATAAGATCGACACAATAACCTTCAAATTTGTCATTCCCTTCTAAGCCATCGTTAGGTTGTTTTAGCATAACGTAGGGATCTTCCTGGAGAAAAAAATTATTTTGAATTATTTTATGCGAATTTACCAAAATAGTTGTAACTATTAGCGTCTTGTTTCTCAGTGATCCTATGACGTTTCGATAATATTGAGTTAAATTTCTCATGATTTTTACGCCAGTGTTTGGTGTCCAATAACCTATCTAAAAAAATAAATATTAGCAATCATTTCATGAAATTTTATTATGTAACTCAGAGACCTGCAGAGGTACCATTTGCTCAGCCCGGATTTATTTTATCTTTTTCGGCCCGGCTCGTGTTTTATATTTTCACATCTGTCCCTGATTTTAAAATATAATTACATTTATTCCTAATTTTTATAACTAATAATGGCGAATTAAAGTATACGGCCCGGATAAAAAGTTTAGGCCCGGCCCTGGTATATTCTAAAAAAATTAAAATACCCCCTGGCTCGGGCTTAGAGTCGAACCGGGCCTGCAGCTCTCTGATTTATATATTAATATAACCATGACCTTGATCAAGCCTTCCCTAGTTAGTTCGAGGATGCTCAAATAAAAATCTTTTCTCAAACCATTTTTATCGATTATGACACGTCCCGTTAATCCTTCGAATACCATCTAATTTAGACAAAAATATTTAGACATTTTTTTAAAAAAATTGATAAACTTTTCTCATTTTACCACTGATCAAACTCCCGAATGGGAATGAGCTATTATTAAATTTGTTACAATCCAAGTCTGATTTATCAGGTCTGTCTCTCTCGAAAGAACTTAAGTTTGATAATACCTTGGAATAAAGTAATAGCGCATCATATACAAGAGCTTCTCCCGTCTTTTGATATAAGGTTATATATTTTTTTTTCATTATAATATATAAATTCTTTGAATGAGAATTTAAGCTATATGGTAAAAAAAAAATAATAGATAACATGAATTTACATTTAATTGTTATTTATTTCGGAATAGGGGAGACCGGGACTGGTTGGCCCCCTTTTTGTTCAAACTTCAATAAATTCAAGTAAATTAAACTAGATAAATAAAACATGTATTGAATCTTTGCGAACTCTAGATACGTAAGTTGTTCCACCAAAGATATGAGGGTTCAAATATGAATTATCTTTCTTTTTTTTAAAACATTGATATAATACTATTAAAGTATAAATTTAATAATAATATCATAACACGCAATAATCAAATAAATTAAATTTAAGGATTTTTAAGAATTTTTGTAAAAAATTAAATAATAATATAAAATATATTATTAATATATTCAATATTTTAGTCATGTTAAAATGTAAATAGGAAATAATGGACCAACGTACTTAGGACAACTATGACCACGATCTCTAATTTTATAAATGCCATTCAAAGCCATATTACTTCATGTTTTATCATTCTGATATTGTTCAGATTAAAATAAAAGAACTAAGTTTTAAAATTTTTTTAAATCTATATTTAGGGTTTTTCACTTATATCTAAAACATATTTTCTTATGTAAAAATTCAAATGCTAAATTTTTTTTAAAAAATCATTTTTTAACCAATGATCTACGATATAATTATTTATATTATAAATTCTCAACTCTTATTCAATAATAGTTTCTATTGTTAATGGTGTGGACTGATTGTACCCAACGTGCCCCGGTCTATTAAGCTTTGCTCAAATAAAAAAATATGCACAAATAAAATTTATATTTGAAAACGATTGATTTAAAATCTAAATCATTTATTATTTTAATCAAAAAATAAAAAATCATTCCAATACTAACGCAATATCAACCGTGTATGTAATACCGTAATTTTGAAATTTTCTATCAAATCATTGAATTTCTTATTCCTCTCGGGATTAATTAATTTGAAAGTAGTGATATTGACCCCAGAGTCTTGAAACGATGTCAAATTTATCATTTGTAAATCCTGATATTTTTTTGACAAATAAAGATTAAATTTTTTTTATAAAAAAAAATTGAATTTTTTTACCATAGATATGAAGAGATAATGATAATAATGAGAAACCATTGATAATTCTTGCGCCTATATTTTTTACAATATTTTCAAACATATAAATTTTATGAATTGTGTACTTTTAATTAGTGCAAACGGTGGCTCGATTTGAGTCGATTTTGGAAAAACGGCTAATTCAATATTTTAACCCAGAAAAATATTGCCTAAACCTCGAGCTTTCGTTAAATAAAGATGTCCAAACCCTTTGTACCATCTATGAACAAAATCTTAATGATTACGTAATACCTTTTTGGAAAAAAATATTGAGTTAGGCGTTTTTTTAAAAATCGGCTCAAATCGACCCGTTTAAACAAACACTGCAGTTTATTTTTTTAAAGAAAGACCTGATTTAAAAGATGCAGAAATGTGGCCACGTCACAATCGACCACGAAATTAGATTCCCCTTGATTTTTTATATCTTTCAGTAAGGGTCTCAAATCGTGTCGGCCGATTCTTTGGACGTTTACTGTTATGTCATGATCGTGAAACGGAAGCTTTAAAATCTCCTTGAGTTTTATCAATCCTAATTTATGATTAAAGTTTGTATATATAATCATTCAATATTACCTATCCAATAATCTATATAAGGATGGTCCCTTTATGGAACAAATAACCAAACTACTTGATCAAGATTTAGAGTAAAGATTTTTTTACAAAAAAATAAAATATGGCAGATTAGTAGGCAGGGAATTTTTTTTAAAAATATTTTGCAGGAATTTGTAATAATTTGTTTATATTTATGAACTTCTGGGGATTAACATAATAGTATATTTTTTAGAATAATGTATTTAAGTGATTTATTCAAAATATATTGTATTGTGATCATAAATAGTAAATTTAGAAAAATAAATTGTTGTTATTAATGGGTTTATTATTTGATTTCGTTCATTTTTAACTAACAATTAAAGTTTACAATTGTAAAAATAAAAAATATTTTTATTTTTTGTTGGAAATACATGGCCAGAACATATTTGTAGGAGCTGAATCCTCAAATACCCTCCCATAGTTCATTTTATTTTGTGTTTCTTAAGTTGATGTATGATCCATTAATTTAAAATAAAAATACCAAACCTTCGTCTGAACCATAAAAGAGAGTCATCGATTTCCACTCTAAATGATTTATGAGATCTACAAAGGCTCTGTTTAAAAGCGGAAAATGAGGGTGTATGTTTACCCAATTATCATTGTATTTGTTGGTCGACTCAGCTACAGTATACTGGCTCCCACCTAGCATCCTTATATGAGGGACATTAAAATTCGACAATGTTGATCCAACTATATCGGTTCCAACATCCGATTGAGATCCTATGATCAATCTTGTCTCTTTGCGCAACAGTTCGCAAACTGTGTATTATACCAAAATTACGATATAATTAAGGACATATAAAATACACAAACAAATAAGATAATATTTATTTTAAAATAAATGAAAGAGATAAAGCCTTCATTTTAATTTAGAATTCTTTTATACCTCTTTTAACCATCATAAAACTATCGTATTTTTGAGTCTTAACAACACTCACACTCATCGTTGATGAGTTCAAATGTTTTTCCTTCTTGAATTCCTCCACAAATTTCCACACCTCATCTTCGCTTATCATCCCTTCCTCTAGCATGATGCCTTTTATCGTAATTATATTTTGTTTAATTTGATAAGTGATCGTAGATATATAAGCAATAATTATACTTTAATTTTATACTTATTATTATAACCATAGACTTATATTAGCATAGACTGCTCAACGCCCAATTCTATAATTTTATAAAAATATCTTTCAATTTGGCATTTGCAAAAATAGTACCCTTTATTTTAATGAGTCTATGTTTATAATGATTTTAACGTCAAATATTCATGTATTTACGAAATTTTTTAAATTTAATTCTCATATAAATAAAAATAAAACATTTTTTCAAAAAGATATAATATAAAAATAAATAATTATTTTTAAAAATTCATATTTTAATGTGTTTATATAATAGAAATATTAATAAATTAAAATATTTATATTAGGTGGGTAGCATTTGTAAATTACATTTTAATTCGTTCATACATTTATAAGAACTAATTTGAATAATTTGATACAAAAAATTTTGATATAATTCTTACTTTATTAATCAATTCAAATAACCTCATGACGCAAAGATAATCTTTTTATTTTATTGTATTTTCTTATTCAAATATTTATTTTAAATTTTACTATATAAGGAGAGATAGTATTGACAAGCGTGAAAATTATATTAAATTCTGTTTATTCAAATTTGTAAAATATTCATAAATGATAAAACACTAATATATTAAAACAACTATATAAAAATATGTAAAAATTTATAAAATGACTAAATAAAAATATATATTAAAAGTATCGAAAGCTCTAAAAAAAAGCTTAATTTTATAATGATAAAAATGTTCCTAAAAAGCAGGTATAATTGTGTTTAAAAATTTTTAATTGTAGTTTTTGTTTAAGAAATAAAGATTCGCGGTTTTCGTTTGTTATGCTGAAAATTTTATAAAGTTTTTAAAAAAATATATGTAGACTGTGAAAAGTTGCCGTTAGTTGAAATGACTATTGGTTGCATCCCAAATAAGGGATTTCCCATTGGACCAGGGGGTGCAGGTTAAGCCGTCGGGTCTAAGGCCGTCTTGTAATGAGAGGTTGATAGGTTCAAGGATGTTGGGTATTTTAGCCTTATTAAAGGATTATGTATGATTTTATTAATTGCTTTATGCTGGAGATGGCGTCCTTGGCTGCGGGTGCAGTTTAGACCGAGTGGGTAGGCTGCATTGGTGGCAAGAGTGTGAATGTGTAAGCGAGCATCCTAGTCTAAAGCCTATAGTAACTCTCAGTTGGTCATTGGTTAAGAGATTATCTAAGGTTTGGCTTGGAAGTGCTTCGAGCCATTCATGCCCGCCGTATTTGTCGTTGTTTTGTATAGTTGTATATCGCTGATTTCGGTAGGGGTAAGACTATTTTGTAATTTTTTTATTAGGGGGTCGATGATAGATTTGTTAGAGATTTCGGTAGGAAATGAATAACCGTCTGGGGTTAGGAGATTCCATTTTTCTATTGCTGCTTAAAGAAGATCATCATGGGGGATTATGAATGAAGAGATCGCAGAATTGAGCGATAGGCGATTTGATATAAATAGAGAAAGGGGAAGTTAAATTTTTACATATTTTAGCGTGAAAAAGTCTTGTCAATAAATAGAATATTAGATGTCGGTCTTGAGAGAATTAATATGGTATTTGACGTTTGTCGATTGTATATTAGTAGTAGGGAATACGAATTTTATTCAAACAAATTTTTATTATGAAAAGATAAACTGATCATTTTATAATATAAAAAAAATCTATTTTTAAATCCAAAGTAATAAATTATATAAAAATGTATATCATTTAAAATAATGTTATCCAATTTACAAAATATAATATAATATATCAAACAATCGCCTTAAACCTTCATTATCTAAAATGAAAAATTATATTAATAAATACGAATATATCCTTAATAATTATATATCGTTACTAAAAAACGCCTTAAATCTTTATTACCTAAAATGAAAAAGTATATTAATAAGAATATATCATTTAAAATAATATATTTACTAATATGTAACAGATAGAAGATATGTTTAGATATATATATATTTTTCATTTTGTAAATAGATTTGACTTGTCTTAAATACCAATTAACCAAATGAATGTAGGATATTAAATATATATTAAAAATTATTTTATAATGATATTTTTAGAAGATAAGGTAATCAAAAAATTTCCGCAAGATAGTGCATTTTCAAAAAAATTTGATTTGTATATTTTTTATTTAACAAAAATATAGGTTTAATTAACAACAGAATATGATTATATATTTTATAATATAAAATGATACAAATTTAAAATTCATGTAAAAGTTTTCTTTTTGTATCTTTTCTTAAGTTATATATTTATACTTTGTTTTTACTAATTAATTATAAACCTTTAACATTCTTTCTATAATGAAAATAAAGGCAATTTCAATGGAAATAAGGTTTGTGCGGCTATAAATCAAATATTTAAAGTATGGATAATTTCAAATTTGTTTTCTTGCTGAAATAATATTCAAATGTTTTTTATACACAATTAACTTTTACCAAAATATAAATAAATATACTGATAAATTTTAATAAAGATCATTATTTTATTACTTAAAAAATATCTTTAATTCTTGTCTAATTCGACCCTTAAAATCCCTACATATATAAATTTTCTTTAATTATTAATTTGAATGTATTAAAGTAATTACAAAAGATCTGGATGATTTTTATGAAATCATCATGAGTAAAATTATAATTTTAATTATTATTATCATTTTTTAACTTACAGATATAATGTTTAGTATCCCCCGACTTCTTTTTTCGATTATTTTTATCCTGATCAATTTATTATTATATAGAATAAGATGTGGTTTTGATTCAAAATGCTTATCATTTTTTTAAATTTTTTAGGTTTCCAATTAATAAAGCTCTTATAAGTAAGTGGATCTATGCAGCAGTTAAAAGATATTTTTTATAAACAGCATATTCTAGATCAGGAATTAAGATCCCTTAGTCATTTTCAAATATTAATTAAACTCATTATAAAAACATTTTATTTCATCATTTTGCGAGAAAAGAAAGATAAAATTTAAAAATAAATATTAGAAATATATTAATTTAGACCAAGAATTTTTTTTTCATTATATAAAACTTATTTTTCTATTTTTTTTTATAAAATTTCATGTTTTCTTGAATTATATCAATGACATATATAATACCTAGACTGACGATTCATTCATTAAAAGTATACATCAATGCAAATCAGCTGGAGACGCCATCTTGGTTACACTAATCATTATTAAAATTTTAAACGAGAGCCTAATTTATTCTTATATCTGATGCAAACTTTATTAAAGATTTACCGGATCATCGAGATAATAAAGAAGCAAAATAGTAGTTCTTAACATGAGAATAATTACTATATGTGTTACCAAAATGACGGATCCAGCTGATTTGCGTTTAACGAAGCTTAAAAATGCATTTTAATGAATGAATCGTCAGTCTAGGTATTATATATGTCATTGAATTATATGGGGTTATTAATAATTTTTCTTGTATTTTGTAATTTATCAATTTATCTTATCTTTCAAAAATTATTTTATATTATAATATATATATTATATATATTTCTTAATTATGTTGCAAATTAAACCGTCATTTTTTTTAAATGCTCTATCTTGCGGAAATTTTTTTATTTACTTTATTTTTTATGAAAATTGTTTAATTTATATAATTAACTTTCTACATAAATATAAATTTTCAAAACAATAGTTATAAGTATTTCTATATTATATTTTTTGGAAAAATATATATTGACGTAGTTGTATCTTGAATTAATTCTTAGTATTATTTAGATTTTACTTATTCATTTATATTTAAGGTATATTATATTCTTGAGAATCATATCTCATATTTAAAGTTGTTTTGATGATTTAATAAAACATAATGACGATTAAATTAAAACCCGTCCATACAAAAATATTTTGCTTACAGAAATAATTCAAATATAGACAAAGCATTATTGATGATTATTTTATTCCTCCATGTGTTAAGCTGCATTCAAAGTAAAGACGGATCCGTTTTTTACATCCATTCCGTCAAAAGTCAATCTCATTAAAATATATATATTCATAGTGCCTCCGTTCCGATACCTTACGTCTTAAAATTTTTTAAAAATGAAAATCAATATATATCATTTTTAATGAGATTGACTTTTGACGGAACGGATGTAAAAAACGGCTCTTTCTCCACTTTGAATGCAGCCTTATTTTAATTATTTTTAGCAAACAAAATATTTATATGGATGGGTTTTAATTTAATCGTCAAATGTTTCATTAAATCATCACAACACTGTATATAGATTTCGTTGAATTATAATATGTTTATTATTTATTTTCTTTTTCGAAATCTGTGTTTGTATTATTAATAAATTTTTATTATATTCGAAAAATGATAGGTAAAAGAAAGAAGAAAAAAAAACGATTATTATATTTTTTAAATGATCTTTTTATAATAAATTGATAAAATATTAAAAAAAAATTCATAAATATATGAAATAACGTTAAAATCATTATAAACATAGACTTATTAAAATAAAAATCGCTATTTTGCAAATGGCACTTATTTGAAAGACGTTTTTTTTAATCTTTCAGCAGTCTACGTTATTATATGCTTAATTATAATATGGGCAACTATCTAAATCGGTAACTCACTGAAACTTGGAGAAATTTTTAATATTATTTTTTTTATATTTTTTAATATTTTTTTTATTTTAAAATAATAAATATGGATCATATAGATATGGGTAGAAATTTTTTGATGTAATAATAATTCAATGTTTTATTACTCAAAAATTTTAAGAATTTCATATATTTTTCTTGTAAAAATTTTCATAATTTTAATTTTATATTAAAAATGGAAAGGCGTATGCTATATTAAATGCTATTAAGTTAGGACTATAATTTATTTGTGAAAAATCTCACAGTTCTTTAATTTTACATTAAAAATAGAGTATATTATTTATAAATTTTAAAAAGGCGTCGTGTACTATATTGGATGCTACTAAGTTAGAACTATTAAATCTAATACTAGATAATTAAGCAATTTATTTGAATAAACATAATAGATTTATAATTTTAAGGAAAATCATAAATAGTTTTATATAAATTTATATCATTTTAAAAATTTAATTAATTAAATTAAATTTGACATATTTTTAAAATTACAAAAATAAGAATATTCACATATATATAAATCAGAGGAAGATTTTCTTCCAGTTCTGAGGATGCTCGTCTTGAGATCCCTCCATAAACGCTCATTACGTTGAGTATGAGTCGATATATCATTATTTGGATCTATAAAGTTTCTGCTGTGATTGACCGAGTAATGATCATATTCATTTTCATTAAGATTGTTATAACTTGAAAAAAATATTAAATCTTAAGATTTGTTGTTACTATTTTTTAATTAAAAAATATATTTAAAAAAAAATAATATTAAAAATTTGTCCGAGTTTCAGTGAATTACCTCTAAATCATATGAAAAAATTTCCCTAAGATTACAACAAAATTTCGAAAAATTTAGGTAAATTTAATAAATATATAATATTAATCATTCATTCAATCAATCATTATTATTATAATAATTTAAGTTAAAGATTGAAATATGGTTACACTAATTTTAAAGTTGTATCAATTGGTTAAAGAGCTTTGGAGATGATAACCCCTCCTAAAAAAAATTTTCTTTCTTAAAAATCTCTTATGTGGAAAGAAAATAAAGATTGAATTTCTTCTATATATAGATTTCATATTAAAAACTTTTCTCCTTCAAATTTCAATAAATAATTTACACTTTTACTTTGAATTTAAGATATAAACTCGACTACAGTTGCGACATTTTTGAAATTCTCACCTGTCAAAAAAAATATCTGATATTTTTTAAAAATTTTTAATTTTTAAAAAGAAATTATGCCAGGTCTTAAAAGAAGGGGATGGCCAAAAAAATAATTTACCATCTTAAAAAAATAAATTGTGGATACCCGTCTGGGGTATGCTGATTTACTAATACTTCTAATAATCCTTATATATATATTTGGTTTGGTTAGTGACTGACCATAGTTAACAGAAAATATTTTTGATTTCATTTTTCATTATTATTTTAATTTTTAATTTTACGATTATAGTATAAAATATTAATTCAAAATTAAACAAATTTTATTACCTATTTTCAGGATATTTCCACCTTGTGCTAAGCTCCATCGGTATAAGATCAAATGGAGCAAAAGAATGATCTCTCTCATAGAAGATTATCTTGTCTAGTCTATTTTTATTTTATTTTTTTTAAATTCAAGACAAATTCTATTCCCACAGTTAAAGCGATTATTTTTTGTTTTTTTTATCACAAATAAAATTTATATAAAACAAAAATTTGATGGTTAACAAAACAAATGATAAAAAAAAAGAAGATTATTATATTATTTCTCCATTTTCGCCTTTTTGTTAAATAATCAATAATCAAACTTAAAAATATTTGTTTTTAAAAATATGCATTATAATTTTAATAATCTTTAAAAAGGCACTGTTCTCAGAGAATAATCAGCCGGAAGATTTCTAAGTGAAGACAAAAAAAATGGATTTGTTTACGAAATTTATATATTAAATTTATAAATGGAACAATCAGTTTTTTTGGAAAAATAATTTCGCTAAAGAAAGAAAGAAAGAAAAATAAAAAAAAGAAAGAAAAATAAAAGAAAGAAAGAAAAATAAAAGAAAGAAAGAAAAATAAAAGAAAGAAAGAAAAATAAAAGAAAGAAAGAAAAATAAAGTAAGAAATAAATAAATAAAGAAAAGATTAATTGATGGTCCAAATCGCACCTTGTAGTATAACCAATTTCCAACTGTCAAAGTTCAGACCACTCCACAAACCAAAATTTTTTTTAAATAGATCAAGTTGAGAAACCAAATAAAATCTAGTTATTTGGTCAGCCAAATCATGTATTTGAGAGGAGGGGGAGGGGGAACTTAAATGTTTTATGTATAATTTTTAATAGATAATTGAATTCGAGAGGAGTAATTGATATAAATTTAATCCTTATAATTTTTTATTATCATCATGACAAGCCTTCATTTCTCGTTTAATAATATCGTAGAATATTTAATTGAATTTTACTTTTCAACCATTTCGTTATATTTTATATAATATTTTTTCGGTTGACAGATGCCAAATCAATTCTTGTTATAAATATTATTCTTATAAAACTTCCTTTTCGTGTTCAATTTTGAACATTTTAAAAACTCAAAATCATTCCATTTTGATATAATAAATATTGATAATTTAAAAAAAAAAAGAGAAACCAAATATTTAATTTTAGTGCGTGACGTGGTTCGACTTATTTTTGATACTCATTTCCGTTTAACCTAGGCTAAAGAGCTTTTAAACTAGGGCACGCTATTTCCGGTTGCTTTATGTGATTAGTGGCATTGTTTTTATTTTATTTTATCATTTTTTTTTTGTTTTGTTTTTTTTTTTTTAAATATTGTTTTTTTTCGTTAGGCGGTTGGCTAGTCGAATCAGAACAAACCCTTAAGTTTTTGATTTTATTATTCATTTATTCAGTAATATATTATTGTGTCCTGAATTCAAAATGAAAGGTTCCGAAAGATTATAATTGGGGGAAAGGGTATCAAACTAAAAATTTCTCTGAAGGCCATAAAATCAAAATAAGCAAATTCGGAGAAAATGTTTTATAAGAGTATTAAAATTATACACTTTATATTATTATTTTTGTTATCAAATTACACATATAAATAGTTAATGAGATGGAAGATACAGGGTTAAAAAAAAATGATTTTGAAAATTATGGCGTGCACGGTCATTATGTAGATAAAATACTTTTTTTTGGAAAATTTCTACTTAAATTTTCACTTTCGCACGGGGCCCTAAAAATCAAATGCACAATATAGATTTATTAGATTAAACAAACTTAAACGTGATTCTTTCTAATTCATTATAATAATTTAAAATAAAATTTTCCTCGCTATCTTTATTAATATTATTATTGTTGAGCGTAAATATTTGATGATTCGCATCTCTAATCCATCTGCGAAAGCGTATTCTCCATTTTGATACTGTTTTTGAATCTAGTTTTTGATTTAGAGCAAATATTTATTTAGGTATAATGGCTAGTTTATCTAAAATCTCTTCGATCTTGCTCGTGGAGTATGACTTTTCACCTTTTGTTGCATAGAAGGAGATACATTTTTATTAAAATGCTAGTATACCTTGATTGGCATGGTATTCAATTTGGTAGTTGTCAGAATTATTTGCAGAATTTAGATTTGATGGATCGATACAACAAATATTTTTTCTTTACCTTGGGCCTTATTTCCATAATTCGGAGGTTTTCCAAAAGGTTTTTGTGTCAGACCTGTTGGTTGTAACTGGGTGGGATTTTCTGAAGACAAATTTTTCTGGCAATATTTGCTATGAATTTTTCCAAGAAATATTGTAGGAGTTAGTTTTTTTACTTTTAATATCGTCTATTACACGTGTGCCTTTGGGATAAGTTTGTTTCACTCATTATTTTCTCCAATATGATAGAATCTTAGAAGTGTTTGGCTCTTTTGTTTAGTAGTTGGTTAACTGTCTCTTCATAAATATTTGGCTTCCTTGCTTCTACTTCGATGCGTTATCAGCTGACTAATTATTATGGCTTGGTTATGCTGGAGATTCAGCTCAGGGTTATGGTTGGTAAATTTAAATTTTGATATCGATTTATAATAAATTATTAATTTTTATGATTTTTTGGCTAAGTTATTCAATCATATTCATCTCGATTTTCGTCCTTTTGGATTTAATCTCTGATAAATGGGTCAATTGTTGCATTTTCTAAGCTAATCTCTAAGCTTGTAAGTCATCTTTGTCATTCAGCAAGAAATATGAAATGGCATTGCTATCACTTACAATATTTTGCCGGCCATGCCTAATGGGTATTTTGTTATATTGATCAATTGAATTCAATAATGATATCAATTCTGACGAAACATTACTTTTTTTCATGCTTAGCCTTATTTAACTTTTGAATTTATATTTCTTCTGTTCTACAAAATAGAAGTAAAAATGAAAAATATTTAAAAAATTATAGATATATATTAATAATTAAAATATTATTAAAAATACTTATTAATTCTGTCACTACTAATTTTGAATTTAATAAAATAAATATATATAATAATAAAATAAATTATCGTTTGATTTCAATCTTTTTGACTAAATATTTTTCCTTAATATTTTTGAATAATATATTGGAAAATTGATATTAAAATATTTGTAAAATTTTGATTGGGAGGGGGGGGGGGTAAAATTTATTAGCTTAAAATGATATTTATGAAAATAGTCAAATTTGCGATGGGGGGGGGAGGAATTTCCCCCTCCCCCTCCATTGGTTACGCACCTGCTTAAAAGCCTTCTTATTTTTGTTTTGCCCACAAATCAAACCAAATGTGTGTTTTTTTATCTTAATATTAGTTATTCGCTATCGTTTTTGGAAATATTATTTTTTTCCAACCCATATCAACCGAATTAAGTTCAAAATTGCTATCATCATTAAGTCGGCCATTATTTACATTATTATTTTTTCCAGGGAGAGGTTTTATACCCATTTGACAGGGCAATCTAGTCAAACCCCCCTGTGCAATTAGAATAATGCTATGTCAGGCTATAGCGTAAAGTAAATCGTTACGCATTATGATAGAGAGTCTAAAACTAAAGTTGCGGAGACGGCTTATAGAGAGTCAATAGTTTTCAATATATCGAATATATAATTTAATTTAATTTATTATATTTATTTTTGTTTTACAAATTCGATAAAACATTTTTTGAAAAAAAAAATACTAAATATAATTTATAAATTTTTTTTTTAAAAAAAAATGTTATCAAAAATCAATTAAATTTTGATAAAAATTATTTTATTTTTTAAATGTATTAATTTGGAATAAAAAGAAATTTAAATAATACTTTTATTTTTAGCTGTTAGAAGAAAAAAAAATGGAAGTATTAAATAAAAAGAGGGGGTTCATTTAACTCCTCTAAATTTAATTCTTTTTCTTTATACGGTTCGGTTGTTTAAATGACAATTGAAAAAAATAAATAAACCTATTATATGGACATAGGAATTCCTCCAAATATCATCATTTTATTAAATTAATTTTTTTGTATGTATCTAAGGGCGAATCGGTAAGGTTTTATTCGCCTGGAGATCTACAAATCACGGCCCGGATTGATATATTTTAAAATTCTTGCGAGAAATAAAGTCGTTAATATTTTTTTATATTTAAATACTTCGGGTCGGGCTTTTCGAGATTAAATGAAAAAATTTCGATCTAGGGCCGGGTCGGATAAATTTTTTTAAATCAAAAAACTTTATAAAAAAATTTCAATTTCCATAGACGCTTATTAAATTAAGTATGATCATATTTATGGGCTTGGGTTTCTCCCTTTATATAATATAACCGTTAATCTTTTAACATTAACACTTAAATAACTCTAAAAAGAAAAATATATATCTTTGATCAAATTTTCAGTAGCACTGCTAACTAAACCTATATATATATATGATGAGTCAAAGACCGGTGTTGAGGAAAGAGAGGAGGGGCGTTTAAGGACTTTTATTTCGGATCGTTTAAACTACCAGTTCTAAATCCCTTTTAAAACTTTGATCAACCATACTTCCAAAACCTTTTTTAAAAATCTTTTGATAAGTATAAATGTATTAAGATACATATGACTGTTAGAAAAAACAATTTATATTGGAAAAATTAAACTAAATAAACTTTTCGAGATGAATCATCACAAATTTTTTTTTAAATATTAGAAGTAGTTTCGGGTTCCTAGAAATTGTAAAAAGTATTCTGCTTTTTGGTTTTTAGGTTTTTCCGGTTTCAGATTTCGATTCTAAACTAATCTCAGGTCCTTAAGCAAGAACCTTACAGGATAGAATAAAGCATTTAAATTTTTTTTTGATAGATATTATTCAGTACATTTACCTTTAAAATGGCGAAAGGGGGGGAAGGAGTATCACAATAGTCTCCCTTTCAAACAAAACAAAATTAATTTCATTTAAAAAAATGATTGAAATTTTTTTTTCTGAATATTTTATTCAAATTTTTATATATTTTTTGGTTTTATTTGTGTCATCGATGAATAATTTTTGAATGAATTAACATATTAATTTGAAATATTCATGTTATATATTATAATATATTTTTATTATAATTTTTTTTTTAAATAGAGATTTCTATAACTAACTATTATTTTTAGAAAGGGTTTTTTTTTTTATGTAGGAATCACATCAATACATAATACAAGCAAAGGATGATAACTATCCGAAT